GAATGCTAGTTGAACTGGGAATGCTAGTTGAACTGGGAATGCTAGTTGCCAGCGCTGTCAAAACTTTTCAAGCTATCATAGCGCTGTAAAATAGCGTTCTCACCCCCTTCAAAACCCCGCTGCGGTAGGCTCCACTTAATTTACCAATCGGAGAGCAGAACAAAAGGGTGGGGGGATCGACCACGCTTCACCTCACGCACAGGATCAAGCTAAGCCCCACCTGGAAAAAAAAAAAAGGTACTCCAAAAAGCGTCACCCCAGAATTCAATGATCAGAAACATCAGCAAATCGTGGCCGAACTGAATGATCTCAATTGCAAACTAATTCCCAGTCATAGCGCCTTCCAATTCCAAGCAATCCTTGAAAATCTGAGGGATGTTGTCAACCCAGACATTGATAGTCTCTTGCTTAACTGCTGCCCGGCCCTCTTCGGCTAGCTCCTTCACGATTTCATCGTCCCAGCAAGGCCTCTTCTTTACATACTGCTTCGGCCCCTGCCATGCCTTTTCAATGGGAGAAAAATTAGGGGATTGAGCGCAGTTGAAGAAAGACTCCAAACCGTTCTGTTCCTTCCAAGCGCGTACGATATTGCTCTTGCTTGTACCGTGGCCAGAGTCATTATCCTCCTCGAGAACAAACGACAGGCCTTCGCGAAGCCAACCACCAACCACAGGCTGGAGGATGTGGTCTCTATAGACCTGCATGGTCATCTTGCCGTTGGAGTTGCCAGGTACACCATACCACACAAGCTGTGACTTGAAGTCGTATCCAACTGCCGCCCAGCAATGTAGTCGCTTCTGATCCTTCTCGGCCGGCATCTCTTTCTCGAGGATGCAGTCTGGGCAATGACGCTCCCACGGTCGTCGTATAACGTGGACTCGACCCTGAGGACCGCAGCCAAAGTGGCATTCGTCGGAGAATCTGATGTGCCTCCAGTCTTTTGCATCCGAGTATTTCTCCAGCATAACTCGGCTGTACTCTACTCGCCTCTCCTTCAATCTCGGCGAAGTATATCGCTTGGAACATGCGATACACATCCGAAAGTCCATTGACTGAACTGCACGGCGTACTGTTCGCCCAGGGACGTCGATGTCGAGGCCGGCGGCTGCAGGCAAGCCATCCTATGGCACAGTCCGCCCGTCGAAGCCGTTATGCTCGAGAAACCTCTCAATTTGGGCTAAATCTTGTTTGCTAAGCTTTCTTTTCCGGCCGCGAGTCTCAGAACATGTCGAGTGGAAAGATCGGTCGCCTGTATCCTCCGGTTCCGCGAGGGCGCGCCAACCAGAGCGTTGGCTAGCTCCGTGGAAGCGAAAAACGTCGCTTTTGAAGTGCGGAATACGACGGGATTCGAGATAATCAATCGTCCCTCGTATCCTCGCCTTTTTCGGCGTAGAATAGTGTGATTGGCGATTCATTTTGGCAGCGATGGCAGGAAGAGGGCCGGGAAGTAGGGTGTCTGGATTGGTGGAGGGGGGAATTTCCGATCAACTAGTTATGGAGTACCCGTTTTTTAATCCAGGTGGAGCTAGGTACTGTACCTAATTCTCCGAAAAGTGCATGTAATATACCAACTTCGCCTCACTCTCACTGTGTACAGTTCATTGTATACTTTTTCGGGCTCGTCATTAAAGCTTCACTTCAATAAATCATGATTGGACCGAAAGGTCTTGGTATTCTCCCATCGGGCCTCTCGGTAGGCTGTTGTGGGAGATGACAGATGAGACGGCAGATCCATTGGAAGATGCTGATGCAATGAAGGACAACCGATACGTTGGGGGATGACGGACGCAATGGTGGATGTACTGGAAAGTTATCACGCTGATACAATCTAGCTGCGGAATCTTTGCTTGCTAACGTGAAACATCTAAGTAGTAGAGGTCCTATCATCACAGAGCACCTCTCCTCAGCCCAGCAAGCCGAGAATGTAAATGGGAAATTCGGAAACAGCAAGTCAGAGAACAATAATAAAGGAATATATCAAGGTGAATAAGATAGGAAGACAATAAATAACGAGAAAAGAAAGACAACGTTAAGTTACCTTGAACAAAGATAAACTGAAAGTTTACACTAAGAAAATGAAAAGGGGGGACATAGGGTCGAGGTGTATTTAGAGGATGGATGATGTCTGGAGGATCGTATGGCCGTTTCAATGGAAGACGGGCACACTGACCAGGGCAGGTAAATATACTAATTACTGGGAGGTGGCCTGCCCTGGGATCTAGAAGATGACAATTGTCGGAACGAAGCCGCCTTGATGGCTGCATTCAACGGACCTCGGTGGTTGATTGGTGCCAGCACCGCAACCCCTCTTCCTTACATACTTAGTCCTCTCCCATGCCCATCAACAGCATGGTCAATGAATCACTTTTTTACCACCTTAAAAAATTCAATCCACTGCTTTGACTGGGAATAGCTTCTTCCAGCGCATATCTCAGCGGTCGTCGCCCTGCAGGTTCCAACAACAATTACGTGATACAGCAATTGGCGATTTCTGGGGGATGGTCAATGCATCAGAGGATGGCTGATGGCTCGGAGTTGACTGGAGAGATGGTTGATCAGTTGAGAGATTGCTCTTAGTTGGGGGGCCGGGAAGCAGCGAGGATGTCCACAATCAGAAGGCCAGAGACTCCCTTGGACGGCGCGTCGAGATCCGTGAGCATCGTGTCTGCAAGATACGCTAGAAAACAGAGCGAACAGTATGATGAAGACATCATAAATCGATTCTGCACTTGCTCCTCTGATCCGTCCAAAGTGAACACTGCCTTGTCGATGTTCGTAACGACAACATAGTGCAGAGCCTCTGGAAAAAGAAAACAACCGAAATCGGTCTTGCATATAACTATTCCTCTGATCTGTCCACGAATTGTCTAGTCGGATTTCTCCTCTTAGTGCGCTGCAAGATGGGCACATGCTCATATGCCAACGTCATCCAGATGTATATGCAAGCTGCCTTAGGTAGTGGATAGTCCATCGTAGTCTGCACACCTCAGGCAGGGATACAGAGGTAAGCTTGGACACAAACTATGTAGTTCGGCGCGGTGTCTTTTGCCCTCTGGTAGATAGTACCAGTGAACCCTGAACGAGGCAGCTAGGGAAGGCATCAAGACTGGACGGGCAGCCCGTACATGTTGAACCGCTTCCAGATATAGGTAGCATTGCCGTGCTCTCTTAGATGCCCCTGACCCTAGACGGTGATTTGGGCTCAACAAATAAGGTAAGGTAGCAATCCTTAGGTGAAGGACTGGCGTCAACTAGTGTATACGCCATGACGTTTAAACTGCTCGTACAGCCACGACATATGCGTCGTCTTATGTCGACTTGCTTCAACGGAACCATGGACATTACGCACTCTTGTGCATCTCGCGCCAGACCAGACCAGTTTAAGTACGCTTCGAGCATCATCAAATTATTGGAACTATTTCTCTTCGTTTGTAAATATAGTCAATGATTACAAGACGCGCGCTGCAGGTTTCTGATAAGATGGCAACCTGGAGCCTATATAACTGGCGTCTCTCCCTCCCGAGTCTTTGGCTTTCTCTTCTTCCAAACAGTTCGAACATACACTTCAGCCCACGCACAGCTCACCCGATTTTGGTTGAGATTTTAGATAAACTGAAGCACCCTTCGACTATTCTCTTCTGGCGACGAGGAGCCCTCTTCCTCCCCTCGTCGCTAGATCTCTTGCCCATCGCCTCGGGAGCACGCCCCTCGCCGGACGCGTCGCTCCAGCCTTCAGCAATATGGTCACAACCGCCGGATCTTACTCGCCTGCAGCCAGCGCGGCTGCGGGCTCAAGCCAACACTCCTGGGAGGAAGGGGAGATCGCCTTCCTCCGCGCGGCCACCAACTTCTCGGCCGCCGACAGAGCCTCGCTGATCAAGGGGTCAGCAGGCAAAAAGAAGGGATGCCTGCCGGTAGGGGCAACAGGACGTAAGTAGCTTCAAACCCACAGCAGCCTCTGTCCGCCTGATATCTCTTCCCACTCGCGTCTCAACTGCCTCTGTCCACTCCGAGAAACACTTTGCTTACTCTCAGTAGATCCCGTCATCATTCTCCAACGCAGCGGCGCCGAGGTTCTCATCACCACGGTCTCGTCATACGGCTGGACCCACAGACAGCTTCCCCCCTGGCAGCAAGCTTGCCACAAGGGGAAGGCGCGAGATGACTTCCGGGCCTTCGCAGGCAGCGAACGGCCCAACGGCCGAGACGTGCTGCTCCTTCGACCGGGGCAGCGGTTCCCCATGGCTAAGGCCAGTTGGGTCTACGCCCAGTCCGCCTACGTCGTGCCACTCAGCGTCATCGGGCGGTTCGACAAGGTAAAGGGACGCGTGCTCCGTATGACCGACGAGAGCCTCCGTGACCTTTGCGCCCACATGGAGACCTCGTGCCCCACGTGGCGCGGTTGCCAGGCCCGCCTCAGCGCCGCCACCACCAACAACGTCTTCGCGCCGCCGCCCAAGCTTGCCTTGTTCCCCGCGCTGCTTCCGCTCTCCACGCCGCCTGCTCCGTGTGGAGGCGCGTGGACGTCCCACTGGGCGAACCCCGTCGCTGTCACCTACACCCACCGCGGCCACCATCGCCACTGCCAGCTCGGCCAACGTGGTTTTTAGGCCTTCGACATCGGGCCTCAGCTGGCAAGTCCCCCATTTCACGTCCTTGCCTGCCCTCCCTGCGTCCCCGCAACTTTCCATCTAAAGACTCCCAAGACACACGCCGATCTCAAGCGAACTGCTGACTGACATGTTTGTACAGGGCAAGAATTGAAGCGTAGAGAGCGCCTCTCGGGTAGCCTGCGAAGCAAGCGACCCCGACTTCGACAAAAATGATGTGGTGCAAGTCGTCCAGATGACTCACGGCACTACGCAGCCTTGACGCTGCCCCAAGACGGCCGGTCCTAGTAAACACCAAGAATGTCGACAACATCATCTTCGACACCCCGTCAAACGACTACCAGGATGTCGACAAGCTGTTGGGCTTGAACCGGAACAAAAACGCCATCCCCATCGTGGAGGCTCACTATCAGAAGTTCGACCCTTCAGTGTCTAATGCAAGCACCGGAAGGAGGTTATCACTCAGAACTGCAGCGATTCAACCAATCCATGTCCAGCCATCGCGCCTGCAAGGACGCCAGCAATGCGCTCAACAGCAAAGATCTCATCGGCTTCGGCCAACCTTTCCACACCGGCACAAGCCGCAGCAGCCGCCGACAATCCTGCGACCTCCGATTCATAACCACATGCAGCGGGTAGCGTCAGTCAAACCACGTCTGCATCATCCGACAGCTACACCATCAAACCTCTTCACGTCCTCAAATCGCGGCGACTACAGCCAAGGCGGCAGCAATCAGCTTTCCGAGGGCACCATCACCAAGGAGATCGACACCGCCTGGGCAGGCATGATTAGGGGAGACAGAACTGAAGCTAATGACGAGATGACCTAATGGGTTATGGAATGATGGATGGATGGGGAAGATCATCGGGTTTTTGGTAAGAGCATCATTCGGCATTTTGTATTCACCTTTGTGTGGTCTTTGGTCTGGATATGCGCATCGGTCTTGTGGACATAGGGATCGGAAATCTGGGATGGAGTTCGGTATTCTTGGAAATTCGCAACCCGGCTGTGGGAACGGTCAGTATGGAGAATTCAAACCATAACGTTGCAAACATACCTCGCTTTTTGTCATTTTGCCTGATGTAAAGTCCATGTCCGGTAATAGTAAGGCCGCGCCAGCTTGGTGTAGAACTTCCTGCCACGGGTACGGCCACGGGTACGGCCACGGTGTGCACTGCTAGCAGATGCGACCTTGCATGTTTAAGGGGAGGACCCTATATTAGCAGCATTTTTTTGGCCTCATATATTAGAAAAGGGGTAGTTTCCAAGGTACGTAAGGATGGGGATACCTAGAAAAATCGCGTATATAGGTGTCACGGATGGGACAGGCTGATAGTCCAATGGCAGTTGTATTCGGGCTAAGCTACAATCTCGGCTCTATTCCGTCAGGTACGGGCAGGCTTGATTGTCAAGACGTAGCTCAAGGAGCTACGGCAGAACTCGCGGCAGCGAGGTGCAGGATCTTCAACCCGCAGGGGCCCCCACACGCTGGGCCCCACCCGTAAGTCCTGGCAGGCACGGCGCAATCGCCGTGACAATAGGGCTAAACTAACGTGCACTCGCTGATATGGTGCATTCGCTGATAAAACACGTTAATCATTAAGATAACATCATTGATCACTAGCTTAATAAAGCTCGAATCACTTGAGATTAGTTATCTAGTATTCTAAAGCACTAATTTAAGTAATTAAAAAGCTTAAAGTGACTAGTTATATATCAATTGATGGTATAATAAGATAAAATAGTCATTAGTTAGCTAGGTAAATTAAGAATATAAGAGGTTTCTTGATTGTCGATATGGGTTTTTCACCCGGCCCACGAGGGCGCGGTTTTCCTGTATAGTAAGTTTGTTGAAGGTCCGGCAAGCCCAAGGGCACAGCGGTGTAGGAATAATAATATAAGAGGTTTTGTCACGGGTGGGCGCAATTGACCACTGCGTAACACCCTCAAAGAGGGACCGTGGTTCGAAGTGTCCAGTCGAACCAGGAGTTGCGCACATGAACCTCACACTGTCACTACCCGTGACAGTTTTATTTACAGCTAAATCCACTATATCTTAGATCTTAGCAAGTCCTTTGCCGTTATGTAGCTGGAAAAGGCTAGTAATTTGGCCCTTAAGAGTTTGCTGTTGGGTACGCCCTCCTCAAAGGGGAATCTTGTCGCATGCTAGTTATCTATCACTCGCGGGACTTCAACCAGATGGGACCCTAACCCTAAGCCAGTCTTTGATTGACTCCGGACTGCTCTCCGAGTCAATTGTCATTGTACATTGTCCCTCACTTTGCGTGTTTTGGACTGCCATTGATTGGAACACACCCAACGGCGGTATGTAGCTCAAGCAATCGGGCTTGTCTTGTACCACCCGACGGCTTTGTTCACTGCGATCAGCAATGGTCCGGATACACCGCGCCTGTGACGGCGATGGGTGTGATGGCGGCGATGACTCGTGGGACGGACCGAATCAGCGCATCTCATCACGGCATCTGCTCACGCTATCATCTCAGCTCTTGATTTTACGACAGACGCCACGCCTTTTTCATGAGATGTCCTTTTGCATTTCTGGGGCTCATCAGCAAATCGTGCGCAATTCCTTCAACATGAGGAAAGACGTCAAAATGTCCACTGTTGCATTCTCTGGTGCAGACCTCAAGCCAAGAGCGACGGCAAGAGGGGCGCTGACAGGGGAACATGCGGGCTGATGGCGGGGATTGCAGACTTCACGCAACTGCCCAATCGCTGGGCCGCCTTTACCGCTGGGCCGCTCGTGCATACAGCCCGGCCTGGCCAACCAGCGGACGGAACGGCCTCGCAACTCCCACGTCCTCACTTGCGAAAACGGGGCTTCGGATGCCGGCGAGACCTCTCACAGGTCGCACAAGGCGGGCGGCGCATGCAAGTCCAAGATGTGCCTGACAAGTCAGCGTCGATTTTACACTCAACGGCCAATGAACGATGGCACGGTCGCAGCGCCAGTGCCGAGCCGGCCATCCACTCGACACATCGCCTGCCCTTTATCTTGGGTCGAGTGTCTCAACAGCCGCTATATACCCAGTCAGGCCCGTTGACACGCAGTGTTTGTGCCTCCTGCCATAGTCAGCGTGATTATTGCCTGCCCATCTCAATCACATTGTGTTTCGGCACAGCGGATACCATGATCTGCCCTTGAAGTCCGACGTCTCCTGGCGACGCCCCTTGATCGTCTGCGGATCTGGTCAACACCACCATGCTGCCTGGTGCGCCGGCCTATAATTCTGCCTTGCTCCTTCTTCTCGTGGCTTCATCTTGGCCTCCTTCGTGTGCTGCCTTGCCGTGGACTGGTATACCATCGCGCCGCTCGCTGATACTCGACTACTCTCCCGCCCCGCCGCCCGAGGAAAGCCCTCCACTGTCGGCCGGTGCGCTCCGGGATCCCTCATTTCTCCCAGCTCAGATCGGTGGCATTGTCGGAGCCTACGCATTATCGCTGGTGCTGGTCGCCCTTCTCCTTCTTGCCTTTTCCAAGACGCGCCGCGACCACCTGCGGAATCGTGACGCTCCTCCTCAAGAAGACAATTTCTTCCTCGATTTCAATCCATTCCCCCAACAATTCCTCCAGTCCGAGGAGGAATACCAGAGACAGCTCGAGCAGTTCCAGAAGCTTTCTCTGCAGATCCCCCAGAGTCCGGTCAGAAACTTCTCGCTCCCATCCAACTCGCCCCTGAGCCCAACCAGAACTGGCCCGCTCAGCCCGACCAAGTCGCAGCGCTCAGTTTTCAGCACCTCTTCCCCGACCTCGACCATCCTCGCCCCTGGTATCGATCTCTCGGTTGACCAGACCATCGTGGGCCGAGACAAAGCCATGGCGCAACAACAGTTGAAAGAGATGTACAGGCATGTGATGGAGCAGGAGCAGGCAAAGGCCGAAGGGCGGGAGTACCAGCCACCAGCGCTAACATCCCCGTCAACGAACACGCTGAATGCAAGCCCCGCGAAGTTGGGTGGCCTCAAGAAGGAAAGGAACAAGCCGTCAAACCTGAACCTCGCGCAGGACGAGAAGCAGTCGCGCAGCTCCTCGATATTCTCCTTCCTCAAGTCGCCGCGCAAAAACAAGGCGCCAGCAGGCCTAAGCATCTCGTCCCCGATTATGACACCCATGTCGGGGACATTCCCACGACATGACGCCCAGGAGATGAATACGATCCCGCCTCGACACTACGCGCCCGCCGCTCCGCCGCCCGTCCCTTCCCACGATCTCCCGTTCCGTCAAGCAGCCGCTTCGGCCGCTGGCAGCAGCCACCTCCCAACCCCCGACATCTCACCCGTCAGCACGCAGAGCATCGACTCTCGCATCGACGCTGCTGTCGGGCAGCCGCCGAGCCGCGCCGCTCGTCGCGAACAACGCGAGCGGGAGGCCCGCAGCGACCACCGTCTCCCGTCCCACTCGCGCGACGTCTCAACCGCAACCAGCTCAGCCGGGGATCCTGAACCGGTGTCGGCCACTTCGGATAGGTCCACTGCCCACCTGGTCGGTCTTCCCGTCTCCCCTCGCCCGGGCGTCAACCGCTTCCCGAGCGATCTTTCCCTGCCGGCGTCGCCTCGCCCAGGCCAGCAATCCTTTCAACTGCCCCCGGCCAATGCCAACTCCTCGACGTCGTCCTTCCCCCGTCCCTCGGGCTCCGCCGTCCGCCAGGGCGGCGCCCTCCCGCTGCGCGCCTATGAGCCCTCGATAAGCTCGCCGACCGCCGCGAGCTTCGCCACCAAGCAGACGGTGTTTACCCGCGCCGATCCGGGCCCGCTGTCGCCCGGCATGCAGACGGGCATGCGCACCCCCTGGACGGGCGCCCCCGTCCCGTATACCCCCTACCAGCCGTTCACGCCTGTCGTGCCCATTACACCGTCCGTGGTGACCAAAGCGGACCGCAAGAGGATGAAGAGGCTTGAGCCGAAGACGCCTACTGTTGAGATGGTCAGGAGTACCGAGGATATTTGGTAGATATATTTTTTCCTGTCTTCGGTTAAGTCCATCTTGTGAGTTTCTTGGACCTAGGTTACTTGCTGGGGAAAACGATTGGATGATGTTCACGGATAATGGCTTGGAGTGCGATGGTAAGGTAGTTTCAACCGAGCTGAGCTGGGCATCATAAGTGATGATGTTGGGAAAGTAGAGATTTCTTCTTTTGATATCCACTTGTTATAGGCGATTGACCCTGGTTTCCGTCTCACAAAGTACTAATCACTGCGCGCCCGAAGCTATGGCTCCTTTTGCTGTGTCAGGACTGGAACTAAGTGATGCCTGTTTCAAAATGGAGTTTGATGAGACCCTACGATCTCTTAGACCCCTCAGCGCTGCTTTCCACGAACGGGACGTCCAGACAGCTTGTCTGGCGTTTTGAGCAGGTATCATGTCAGCGCCTTTTAACTCGTGCTTGGCGGTCGTCGTCAGCCGTCGACCAATCTCTGGTTTCAATGGCGTAGAGCAATGGCACCGCCAGGCAGTACCACTCAGGTGCGCCGCCACCCCTGATATTAGTTGCATAGCCGTTACCATAACGCAGTGCAGACATCTCTTTCTATGGCGTCCGATCAATGATCTTTGTTGCCGCCTTGGACGGAGCGGTCGCAAAACTGATCCACCACATAATTGGGAGCTCTCCTGCAGTGGGGTGCCCCACTTAAGCACGCCGAGCTCCGTCCGCTTGGCCTGATCATACGATTCTGCCGCGAGTCGTCCCACTCTAACCAGATTCTCCAACTTCCAACTTCAACGTCGATTATCGCCAAAAATCCAAGGAACATTGAACCCGCGCCAACGCTCGCGGTCAGGCCACACCGCATACGACCGAAACTTTCCGGATCAGACGGCCGCTGACGAGCCTACGCAATTGGCCGACGACCTGCCCTGACGATCCCTCCCCGGCACTCTACCTGTCGTCCCGGTGCCGCCCGCGTCCGCCCGATTTGCTTCACCCGGCCCGCATGTGGTGTGTGTGAAAACATGGCCAACTTCGGCGCTCACCCGCCCAGCATGTTTGCAGGGCTGGATGGGGGCCTGGATGCTTTCGGCCTTGGGGATGGCACACTGGAAGACAGCCGTCTTGTCCCCACGGAGGATCTGATTGATGGCAATTTCACCAGTTCCGAGTTTCCCACCACAGCACATAATGCCGCTTCATCGACCGTGGGGGAGGCTCCCGCATCTGCTGCTGCTTCGGGTGGGACTGGGTGTGGAACTGGCAATTCGCCCGTCTCGCCCTCCGCTGTCACCGCCCCCTCCCAGGAGCAGCAGCAGCCGGACCTGTTCAACTTGGCCACTGCACCACAATGGACCTTTCGGACTACACCCCCGTATGACTCGCCCATCAGCAAAGGGGACCCCTTTGGTGGCGTACCCCAACAGACGTGGGAACTTCCGCTCAACCTGAGCCAACCATTTCAGCAGCAACCGTCTTTCTATTCCCAGTCCTCCACAACTCCAGTCACTGCTGCGGGCAATGTGCCCGCAGCCTCGGTCTTTGCGCCAAATCTACAACCGGCTCTAGCCAGGAATATACGCAAAATTCAGAACACGCTCACGCCGGCGCAGCGCGAGCGTCTCAAGAACATTGCTATGCCTCCACACCTCAAGTACCACTCGCCCAAGAGCGCCGCTGGCAGCCCCGACTCAGCCTCGAGCCACGACAAGGGCACCCTCTCTTCTCCGGACGCAGCAGAGCCATCCAAGGTTACAAGCAGGAAGCGGAAGTCGGCAGAGGAAGGGGACGATGACGACGATGACGACGAACAGGATCATCCCGTGAAGAAAACGGCGCACAATATGATTGAAAAACGGTACAGGACCAACCTCAATGACAAGATAGCAGCCCTGCGAGACAGCGTGCCGTCACTAAGGATCATGTGCAAGAGCGCACGGGGAGAAGACACGACAGAGGACCGGGAGGAGCTCCACGGCTTGACGCCCGCTCATAAGCTCAACAAGGCAACGGTAGGTTCGCCATGTAACATTGATCATAAGTCTCACGCTGACGCAGTCCGTAGGTCCTAAGCAAGGCTACCGAGTACATTAGACACCTGGAGAAACGAAACAACCGATTGCTCGAGGAAAACAGCAATATGCAGGCGAGGATCGCCGCCTTTGAGAAGCTTTTCATGGCCGGCGCCATGACTGGCCAGTTACCAAACCCTCTACAGCAGCCTCCAACGCCTATTCAATACCCACAGGATTCCAGCCCATTTATGAACACACCAATGGCGACGCCCCGAGGACTAGACCCACCAGGATTGATTCCTATTCCAGATGATATGAAGCGCATTTTGGCGGCCCAGCAGCTGAATGCCGGTCGCCCATATCCGGTGCCGGCGCAACATTTTGGGCAAACCCCGGCGTTGTTGCGCCAGCAGCAGATTCAGCAACAACAGCAAGCACAGGCGCAGGCGCAGGCCGGCCGGTGGAACCCATATCTCGGAAAGCTCATGGTTGGTTCGTTGGCTGGCTTGATGCTAGTCGAGGCCCTCGTCGAATCCGAGCAAGGCAGCGAGACCGATGCTCGCGGTCTTGGCTCGCTTCCTGCTGTGAGGTTCCTCGCCAACTTTGTGCGGTCTACTCACCTCAGCATTGGCGGCCATCACATCTCGGCAATAGAGTTCATTGGGAAGCTGAGATTGATCTCCCTCTTGGGTTTTGTCATGTGGCTTGCCTTCTCATCATTTGTCGACACCACCACCGTCTTCCGACCTGCCAAGAAGTCAAAGGGCACCACCTCAGTTGTCAAGGCGGTACCATCTCTCGCATCGCCGATCCATGTCAGAAGACAGGCCTGGCTCACCGCCATCCAGACAGTCTGGGTGCCGAGGCATAACTTTTTCCTGGAAGCTGCTGCTCTCTTGCTCAAAACAGTCAAGTATGCCTTGAGGAACGTGATAGGCGTTCACGGTTACCTCGCGCTTGTTGGGTTGAGCGAAGAACAGGAGGCAGCCCGGGTCAAGGCTTGGTCGATTGCCCTGGACGCCCAGCTTGCCGGCGGCGACGTTGAGATCAATAAGAGCCGTCTCACGCTGACCCTGATTGCCTCCGGCACCCTGCCAGACACGCCTCTCCGACTGATGCTCAAGGCCTTGCATATCAGGGTCCTTCTCTGGCGGCTCAACGGCGCCTGTTGGGTAGCTAACCTGCTTGCTGCCAAGCTTTCCAGAGCGAGGTGGAACGAGGCGAGACAGCTTAACCGCATTCTCAACGCCCTTCCCGAGGGTGAGGCTTCGGCCGAGGATGCGCTTCCGGAGCATCTTGCCGCCTTGCTCGAGCAGGACTGCGACGACGTTCTCAACGACACCATCATCCAGCGGGCCCACAATCTCGCCTGGAACCAGCCCACCAACCACAACCTCGTCGACAAGATTGACGGCATGGACACCGTCGTCGACGACGCGGCCGTTCGCTCGCCCATGGACGCCGTCGCGGCATGGTACTCCAACCTGCACCTCCACCGCGTCCTCATCGCCAGTCTCCGCAAGCCGCGCGACGAAGCCCTCACCGTCAACCCCCGCATGGCAGACGAAATCGCCCTGGCGTTGAAACTCGCGCCCATCGGCTCCAATTCCCAGGTCCGCGCCCTCGTCGCCCGCGCCATCTTCGCGGACGGCAAGCGCGCCAGCCACATCGTCGCCGCCCTGCATGCCCTCGACCCCCTGGCGAACCCGCAGTATACCATCACCGCCTGCGTCCCGCACATGACTAACGTCATGCCGGACCCGGACGCCCACATGGCGCTGCGCTGCGCCATGGGCATTGCGCAGCTGCAGAAGCACCAGGGGACGGACCTGCCGCAGGCGGCGCGGCGCGTGTTTGAGCTCGTCGTACCGGGCAGTGCCGAGATTGAGAGCATGTCGCTGCTGCGGTATGCGGCTGCCTTTTGGCTAATGGAGCACATGACGCGGCACCCTGTGGCGAGGGAAATGTGCTCGCGGTCGCTGGAGAGGCTGGCGGGTTGTTTGCGGATATGGGTGGGCAGTGATGGTGCGGTGGGGGAGAAGAGTGGGCTGGATGCCGGGCTGAGGCGGCGGATGATTGAGAGGTGTCTGGCGATTACGAAGAGTGTGGTGGGCATGGAGACGGATCCGGGGTATGGGAGTATGGAGGAGTGTGAAGACGGGGAGGGCGAGGGGTGTTGAGCGTTTGTCTTTTCTCTCTTTTCTTCTCGCCGCTCTCCGCTGGGACTATGCCAGGACTGGCTGGCCCGGTTTGTTGACTTTTAGCCCCTTGTTTCAACCCACCATCTCCGTAAAATACCGTCCTGGTTTTGGCGTCAGACCGTTAGATGCTGGTATTTATTCAAGCTCTTTTTGTCTCTTCAAACATCTAAGGTCACCTGTTGTTGGTTTCGTACAACAGACGTGGCGTCGCGGCGAAAATGGGAACTCTCCAGTGGAAGTATATAAAGGAGGAAACTGGTATCTAGCTCCACGAGGCCGCCGTAAAGGGGCGCTGTGGAAGGGTGCCTGGTCATATTCTCACGTACATTTGGATCTGTGGGTTGTCATCATTGTAGGTCTTATTGTTATTGCCGTCACCATCTTGTATGTCTCTCACTGCATGCTGTATGCCTATCCGGCTTGAGGGGTTGGTTTGCCGCCGTGGGGGAGAAGGACTGGAAAGCTTCGGTCCCTTGGCTTTCGAAAGATTAAGGAGATACTAGCAAGCAAGCAAAGGTCTCATCTAGTAGACTTGTCCACTGTCGCGTTGAGGTCTTCTCCTCCCAGCGCATTCGTCAATCAAAATCTAATTTGGTTGACTTCAGCTCTAGCAAACGTCCGGCGGCCAAGCTACCGGACCGACAGATTTGTCAGTCGCAGTTAAGCGGCCCGACTGGGCCCGATGCCACGATGCGACGATGCGTCGAGCGTTTTGAGAGGTGGCGTCTATTGATTTTTGGTCATCAGCCGCGTCAATAGCCTTGCGCCCGAAGCCACACACTTTCCTCAATCTAGTTTTTGACTGTGGAAAGACCTTTGTTGTCGATGGAACGTTTGGAATGTCAAGTCAGCCTGGTGATCTCCCTTTCTTCCCCATTCCATCCTACCACGACTCTGGAATCTACGCAAGAGTTACTGACTGCCGAGGCCGACACGGCCGTCGTAACGCTCGCAACCAGTATCTCGCTGACCGAATTACCGCATATAACTTTGGCGAAACTCACCCCAAAAACCGCCTCGCCGTTCCCCTGACCACCGCGTGGTCTTTACCATCCAGCTGTTGCACCACCGACCCTCAGATACCGGCGGGGCCGGCTGGGAGCGCCACAGAGGCGATCACCACAGAGCCTTGCTCCTGCCATACCCTGAAGAGATTACAACCTATTATTCGCCTGGCGTCTGCTTTTCAGGCTACCCGATAGGATGCATTGTGACCGGGTCCATTGTGTACTTCGAGCCAATCAAGCCGTCCGAGACCGTCGCCTTCTGTGTCCCATGGTGAATTGAGTAGGGGTGAACGACTGTTGTCTTAGGTCGCCTGGCTCGGCCATTGTTTCAAGATCGTTAATGTTGACTCACCCTGGATGATAGGGGCTACGAGTGCCTCATCGCTGAACACAGTCATGGCAATCATTTTCTCGACAAGGACGCAATACCGGTCGAGACTGCTCCCAATGTTACCTCGGTTCTTTCCGGCGCTCTTGGGACGGCTGTTCTGCAAATCCGGTGGCAGAGTTCCGACTCATCTACACTGGGCTCCTTGTACGTGCCGCTCTCTGTCGTGGCGGGCATTTTGGAAAGGTCGGGTTGCCCTCATCTGCCGTGGCGAGCATTCTACAAGGGCCGGGATCGTCAAGCGAGACAGTTAAGCCGACGACACAGCCGACATCGACGGGTGACCGGCCGCCAGCCAGCTCGACCGGAGCCGTGGCCAACAGCGGACTGTCTCCCGGCCATATCGCTGGTATCGTCGTCTGCGTAGCCGTTGTGCTGCTCGGAGTCCTGCTGACTGCCTTCATTATTTCCCGTCGGCAGCGAAGGCAGCCCCGTGCTGCGAGCCAGTTGCCCCTTCAGAGTTCCCCGATGACGCAGAAACGAATTGGAAAGGCGCCGAGCTACCGGGGACGCTTTTTGAGCAAGAACCGAAGGAGCTTCCTGCGAGGGAGATTGTCTCGGCGACGGCGGGATCGGGATCAGGACTCCTCAATACTGCAGGCCTTTCCGAGTCGCCGATCTCTGGACCGAACGAATTGCCCGGCCACCGGGAGCCGTAGACCCCAGCAAACAGCCAGACATCCCCTGCAACGGTGATGGCTGGTATAAGCGCGTCAACTGTTACGCCGCAAGAGCAGCTTATCAACCTGGCCAAGACCGTTGAAGACCTCATCGCACGACAAGCCAGGCTCGAAGAGAAACGGTAGAGGCTTTTGCAGCTGCAGCAGATCGACGAAGCAGGAGAGGATCGGACAGCAACTGGCGGTCGTGCACAAACAACTACCCTTCCAGCGATTGAGTTGGCGTGATCTCCCTCCGAGCGTCTTGCGACACATTATTTGGTGACAAGTCGAGTTGACTACGAGATAATGATCAATAAAAAACTGAAATCATGATGGCACCGCACTGTGTCTCATAGCATGACTTCAAACTGTATTCTATCAATCTGTGCATACACTCACTCTTCCCGCCTCTTTCTCATACCGAGATCAGACTCTGACACCCGTCCTCATAATCGGCAGCTGCAATTGTGACTCTGGATTAGGGGTGGTTCGCCTTAGGAGCGCCGGGTCCCCAATGCGAGACGCCATACGATCCGGCATGAAATCGGGAGTAGTGGACCGGGAGATGACGGAGTACTCGGTGCCCAGGGTCTGCTCCGTGTCCGAGCTGGTGCGAAGATGGCGCGAAACGCAGTCTGGAGAGGGAGAGCGAGAGCGCAGGGGATACTCGGAGGCTGGGGTGGCGCGAAGCAGGCGCGAGGTGGTGGGCTGTGGAGAGTGGATGGTGGCAGCCGGAAAGTCGTCGGTCACGACGGTCGTCGGGACCTTGGTTGGCCCGGTGCGAATTTTGGACGGAAGGATCTGTTCAAAGCCCTGGGAGCGGGCCACTTGTTCGATGTCCTTGAAGTACTAGGGAAACGCGTCAGGGGTGGGAAAAGCAGTTTGTTCGGGGCTGTGATTACCTTGACTGTCTTGACTTGCAGCTCCAGCGTGGCGTCCTCATCACATACGATCATGGAATGGGGATGTAACTGCAGGGCTGACAGCGTCCACATGTGGTTGACACCCTGCTCGACGCAGCGCTGCAGGGCGAGGGCCTTGCGGGCGCCGAGGGCCATGACCACAACCTCGCGAGCCTCTAGTACTGTTTGGACGCCGACGGTCAGGGCCATCTTGGGCACCTTGTCCAGGTCGTTGTCAAAGAAACGGCTGTTTGCGAGAATGGTGCCATAAGCAAGGGTCTTGACACGGGTACGGGAGGCCAGGCTCGACCCGGGCTCGTTGAAGGCAATGTGGCCATCCTCGCCCATGCCAGCCAAAAACAGGTCGATACCCCCAGCAGATTTGATCTTTTCCTCATACTGGACGCATTCGGACTCTAGGTTGGGGGCGTTCCCGTTAAGGATGTTGACGTTGCTGGGGTGGATGTTTACGTGGGAAAAGAAGTGCTTCCACATGAAGGAGTGATAGCTCTCGGGGTGGTCTCTTGGAATGCCGATGTACTCGTCCTAGTGAGAGAGTTTAGCCCTCTCTGTAATAGTCGACTAGGCAAGGCGGGCTCATTTACCATATTGAAAGTGACGACATTCTCGAACGAGACCTATCCAGAAGATTTGTGAGACCCGGGTGCCGATCATGAAAGGGTTTACTTCTTATCCTACCTCGCCAGCCTTGTATTTCTCGACCAGAGCCTTGTAGACACCCAGCGGAGTACTCCCTGTTGGGAGACCCAGAACGAAGGGGTGTGCTGGCGTGGGGCCGAAGTGATTGATCCTGTCGACAATGTAGTTTGCGACATGGGCACTGGCGGCCGCCGCATCTTCCTTGATGAAAAACCTCATTATGGATAGAGTTGTATGCTAATGGAGCAAGGAGTTTGAGCTGAGGGCTGCAGCGTTGAGTGAGAAGGAGTGAGAAATATTCTAGGGCACTTCTAGGTAGGTAGGTAGTATCCAGGCCAGTGAAGAATCGGATTCGCCGGCTTGAACGACGTCAAGTAAGATATCAAAGAAAGTGGGTGAGACCAGGGAGCTGGAGCATGTGACGGTTAGCGTAACCATGAGGCCGTCAGGGACTGGCCAGAGCCAAGACGGCCCTTGGGGATGCCATCCGTGGTGGGCACCTCAGCCGTCAGTCGGGGCAGGTGTTCGATGGACCCAACTGGAGGTTGGAATGACAGATGGAACGTTCTTGTCTTCCGAGTCCTTTCCACACAGTGGCGACAGCGTCTTCGGGACGAGGCGGGACCATGCTAAGGCCTTTGATCTGTCAGAGTGGGAGGCCAGGCATGGTAACATTCAATCGAATTAGAGCCAAGGGAAGTACGGATACGGAGAGATTGTAATCTTCCACACGCCATTGTTGTCTGTGACAGCTGCGACTCTGTGGGGAGCAGGTGGCGGTCACCTAGGACCATAGACGAGGCGAGATGGATGGGAAGGCGCGCTGCCACCATCAGCCCGTCAGCCTGTATCGTCAGACTCCAGTTCATCCATTCCCAGGAGTCGAACAATTGAGGCTCTCCCGGACGCCTTGGATATGCAGCTGACCCGGGTCACAAATTGCATGCAGCCGTTTTGTTTCTTCCTCGTTGACGGGCGTTTGAAGTTGACGAGTCTGTTCCTGTCCGAATTAAGCTTTCGTATGGCTCGTGCGCCTTCCAAAGACAAGCGCCAAGCCGCTGTCGGTGCCACAGAGCAGTTGCCCCACAACCCCACAGGCCCCGCCATTTGACCGCAGACCGATCGACGACGGCAAACTGGAGATGGAACTGCACCCAAGGCAACGTTACGTCCCTTGATTCCGAGCCGGGGACGCGCCGGGCACACGGCGGGCAGCTCAGGGGCAACGCCGTGCTTTTCCACCGAAATGGGCAAGTGACTTTTGTTCGCTTGGGTGGCTCTGATCTGTACGGGGCTCCAGCGTGCCAGGGTGGGCCTATTGTCATCTGCTCTGTGGTCGTCGTTTCGTTCTTTGCGATTTCCGTTGTGGGTTGGGAGTCCCAGTCACCCACTCCATCGACATTTCACTTTGTAACACACCCGGCCCGCGACTGCCATTGGCCATCACGTTGCCCCTGGATTCCATCATATCTACCGCGATATCGAGCCTTCGTCTCAAAACAACTGCCCGTGTTCGATCTGGTCGTCAATCGCTCTTCCGGAACCTCAGCCGAAGGACCTCCACTCACCCTGGACCTCCCCTTGTTACCTCTGGCGGCTCTCTCTGTCCCATCCGCGCGCCTCCCGCTTCTGCACGGCGGCATCCGGCAGGTTTCATTTCTTCCGTGCCAGCCTCTATACGGGCTCGGTAGTGGTGTCTTTACCTTACTTGGCATGCTGCCTGCGTGCTGCGTGCCAACTGTTGCCAGAGTCGGGTACCAAGTGTACAGAGCCCGCCTGGCCGCTCTGCTAACCAACAACGTCCGGTCCAGCCCAGACACTCTTTCCCTGTTGTTCCTGCGGAGATCGTATTGCGGCTGGAATGGGCCTCGCCTCTCTTTCCAACGCCCACCCTCGCTGCCCTGAATGACTTAAAGCGAGACTCTCTCCACCTCCACTCGGTTCGGGCCTCTGATATCATGCAGTTATGCCACTCGTTTCAGCAATGACGTCTATACGGGATGTTATCGTGGCGGCTCTCAAGTCTCTCTTCCGCGGCAAGTCGTTCCTGAAAGCACTACTCGCCTTCTGGACGGCAAGCCCCGTCACCACGGCCGTCCCTATCAACAATCCGCAAGACGTCGGAACGAAGGCCAACGCCGACCCTGCCGCCGACTTCCTCGCCGAGGCCGAGCACCTGCTGTTGGGCTACATCGACGCTGGCGGGCTGAAGCAACTTTCAAGAAAGCTGAAAAGCCAGTTTCGGGAACGACTATGGTCTAACCCGGTTTGCATGCTGCCCTCCTACAACTCCCAGCTCCCAACCGGCGATGAAGTCGGCCAGTTCCTCGCTCTTGACGTCGGTGGATCGACACTACGCGTGGCTTTGGTGGATCTCAGGGGTCGTGGCGCGCCGGGTTCCGAGGACAATATTATCCAGATGGACACTTTCAAGATCGACAGCGACGTCAGGAGTCTGAGAGGGAGGGAATTCTTTGACTGGATGGCCGAGAGGATACACCGAACCGTGGCCAAGGATAGCTCCAGAGGCCATCGCCCAGAGCACCCGCTCCTCATGGGCTTAGCCTGGAGTTTCCCCATTATGTACGTCCATATCTGCCATGCTGCCTTCATCCACTGACAAGACCAGGCAAACATCCTCCAAGGGAGGGAAACTGAGTCTCATGGGCAAAGGATTCCTCGCCAACGACGGTCTCATTGGGGAGGACCTCGGGGAAATTATTGAGACGGCCTGCAAGAAACAAGGGTTGTATGTCGAGCTCTCCGCCATCGTCAACGACTCGAGTGCTGCGCTCCTGTCGGAAGCCTACACCACCCCATCAACCCGCTTCAGCCTCATCCTCGGAACCGGTTCCAACATTGCCGCTTACCTTCCCGTGACAACCATCGACCGACCCAAGTTCGGCGACCGGCCCAGCAGCTGGTACGAAAAAGCCAGCCACGTCATTGTCAATACGGAGGCCAGCATGTTCGGCCAAGGCGTCCTGCCCCTAACCAAATGGGACAACCTTCTTAAGGCCGCCCTCGACCGGCCGGATTTTCAACCGATCGAGCAACTCGTGAGTGGCTACTACCTCGGCGAAATTTGCCGCCTCGCCTTGCTCGACGCCATTCCATCCACAGGCGTCTTTGGCGGTGTCGTCCCGCCCTCCCTCCAAACGCCCTACTCTCTGGACACCGAAACCCTGTCCGTGATCGAAGCGTATGTTCAAACCCCTCCCGCCGCTCTTTTCCATACCATACTAAATCCACGAAGCGACACCTCACCATCCCTCGCAACCGCCCTCCAGACCTTCACCGCCCGTCATCCCAGCCCTGTCCCACCCACGTCAGCAGACCTTTCCTTCCTCCGCACTCTCGCCTCCCACATCATTCGCCGCTCCGCCTCCGTCATTGCTGCATCAATATTTGCGCTCTGGGAACTCAAGGCCGAAGCCGAGAACGAGCTCCTCTCCACGCTCTCCCCGTCTTCCTCGTTCATAGCCGAGACGGAGACGGAGCTGCAGATGGCGCGCGGCGGCACCACGACGGTGGCATTCAACGGGTCCGTGGTGGAGCAGTACCCCGGTTACAGAGAGCGTCTACAGGAGTACGTGAACGGGTTGCTTGCGGAGGAGGAAGAAGGGGAGAGTGGCGTAAAGGGTTCGATCAAGCTGGTAGCGGCGCGGGAGAGTTCGCTGAGGGGCGCGGCTGTTGCTTTGGCTTGTTTGGCGTAGGTTGGCTAAACCGCCAACTTGGATGTGCTGGTACTCAGGTGATGATGTAGTAATTTACGATTCGACGACATGTGTTTGAGGTAGCTTGGGTGGAGGATTAGTTGATTGGTCCGTCCGCTCGAGCCGCGCATGTACAAGTACATGGAGGCAGCCTGTCAGCGATGAGTTCGCCTTGCTTCAAGGTGTAAGGCTTTATGATGGAATAATCCACGAGTTGCTCCAGGCGGCTTTGCATGGGAGTAACGAATCAATGCATGTTCGGGTATCCGTCATCCAGCAATGCTACATACAGCCGACTATCCACATGGTCGTTCCCAGCACCAGACAGCACCACTGCAACCATGTCGGAACCGGGGGAACCGGACACAGCCTACTTTCAAACAGCTCGTCCTCCTTGACAGCTCCTTAACCATGTAAGCCAAGTATAAAGTCAGAGAAAGAAACCAACTCCACGTCGTTATCCAATCCACCCATACCCCTATTCCTCCTCCGGCTCACAACGATTTTGTCCTCAACCCCGCCCACTTATTCATATATACAGGTTACAGCTCCCTGACTCCAAGCACAACCCGGAAGAAACCGCAGTATGCTCACCGTCCTCCCAAACCGCTGCACCGCCTTCTTGCTTTGCCGACCCCCGGACGCTAGGCATTCGCTCCGTGCAATTGACCTCCACCATAGCAACCCTGTACTCCCTCGGTTGAGACACAGCACCTCTTCCACAAGACACCACGCAAAATCCGCGGGAATACCCCATCTCAATCCCGCCCCATCATTTTCAAGTTGTACTCCCACCCAATCCTTCACTCAGCAGCAAAGTACCGCTTGGCCTTACTCCGTATCTGCTGCGCTTTAACCTCGGGCGGGACAATCGTGTGATGGACGACATGGGGTCGGTAGATTGCGTCGACGGGCGGCATCCTTAAATCAGGGCATACAACGTCAGCCACAAAATCCAACTCCAGTTCCAGACCCCTTAAGCTATCCCGTAAAAAAGATGGGGAGGACTTACCAATCGTCGAGACTGAGCGGGAAATACTCGTACAACATATCCTCCGTCTCTGGCGGGCTCGCGAGCGGGTTGCGCACCGCGCCCACCTGCCCGCCCTGGCCGGTTAGGCCTGTGCCGCCTGTGGAGAGGAGCATGGATGATTTTGCGAGCTGCGGGCTCTGGGAGCTGTCGTTTGAGCTGGAGCGGTTCGGGGGGCTGCGCTCGTCCTCGGAGGAGTTGAGGTTTAGTGGGATCGGCTGGGGTCCTGTTGCACTGCTGCTGCTGCTGTTGCGGTGCGATGTGTTGTTGGCTGTTGATATTGGGTTCGACATTTGGCTGTTGGTGCGTTTCGGGTTTCCGGCCGAGTCGAGTGAGCCCCAGGAGGGCACTGGCGGTCGGTTGAGGCTCGGAGACGTGATGGCCTGCTTTTTGCTGGCGTGCTGCTGGTTCGGTGTCGTGGACGGATAGGGGGTCGCCCAGTCCGCCGGTGATTGCTTCGGTTCGTTAGCAAGGGCCGAGTAGGTTGGGGTGTCTATCCTGGGCATACCTGGACGTTACCCATCGAGTTGTACCGTTGTAGTTTCTGCGCCGGATCGCCCTCATCCTGCCTCTGCTGCTGTTTCCCGCCCGAGCCATCGGTATGCCTCCTCTCCAGCGGCCTCTTGTCTCCCAGCGGCACTTCTTTGCGATTATCAAAGTTCCTCGGGCTGCGTCCCCGGACAATCACAGGCCCGGACTGGATCTCAGCGACCTTGATATACTCCCCGCCCTTGCTCTTCACCAGCAGGTTAATCTGTACCACATAATGCTGCTGCAATCCCTTCCTCCGTCCATTATTCGCCGTGGCATGCTTGAACTGCAGCCTCTTCCACGCGACGGGCACCGACACCCTGTTCCCGCCATCCACCTCCTGCCCGCCGCCGCCAAAATCAAGCGGCAACACGGGCGGCGCACTCACAACCTTTGTCTCCTCGGCGCCGAGGGGGGGATTGCCCCCGCGCCAGGGGATGGTAATCATCTCGGCGACGCGGCCCTCGATGCTCTCCACAGCAGTAATCGACGCGGCCAGCTCGACAACGGCGGCACGCCGGCCCTGGTCGTCGACGTACTGCGTCACGTGGCGCGGCAGCGTGATCTGGCCCGAAATCTGCCAGAGGTTTCGGCGATAGCACGTCAGCTCGAGCGGGCGGCCCGCCGTGCTGCTGTCGGCACCGAAGACGTCCTCGGCGACAAAGAACATGCCGTACAGCTCGCCCGTCATGGACGGCTCGACGTACTGGCCGGAGTCGGTGAGCAGGGTGGCCTTGCCTGGGATCGGCGCGCCGAAGCCTAGGAGCTTGTTGTCAAGATCTGGCGGGGATTGAGGGTCGATGTTATACGCATCAGCATCAGGCACGCTGATGCCTGCGCCCTCGAAGGGCCGGGCCGGGTAGGAAAAGGGGTCTTCGAAGGTGGTGCTGAAGGTTTCGAAGTCGTAAGGGTTTGGGGTGAAGGGCATCTGCGCAATGCCGACGGGGTCGCTGGGGCGAAAGCATGTTAGGGGAGTGCGTGGAATTGATAGTAGAACTGGGGTGGCTGTCTTACAGCAGTGAGTCGTCAAAGGCCATGAAGTTGGATGAGTCCATGTCCGGGGCCGTCATGGCCATAGTGGCATCTTGGCCGGTGGTGGCGCCCGACGACAGCGCCGGCATGGGATTGAAGCTGGCCATTTCATTGCGGCTCCCGGAGAGCTGAGTTCATGAACAGATTGCCTAACACGTGAATCAGAGATCCGGCGGCACCATGGCCTGCGATAAGCTCCAGGGACGGTGTAGGCACAAGGAGGACGTCGGAGGTGGAGAAAGAATCGATAAGCAGAACTTATCGTTGGTCGGTTTTGGTGAGTAATTTCACGAAATCTGCAGCGATTACACAGTCGTCATAGATAAGTCATTTGACCCACTTATTAAGCATTTTAGTGGCTTTAGGCGGCGAACCCTCTGTTTTTTCAGTAGCTTTAGTGGCCTTACCCTCTGTATTCTTAGCAGTGGCATTTGACCTTGGTATCGCGAGAGCTCTTCTACCTTTGTCTTCCCTTTTCTCCCCATCTTCTGCGATTTACCAAACAGAGCGGCTTTCCGTAACCTTGCGCCGGCCAATGGCCCTCTGCTGGTGACAAGCAACCTACTACCTGTATTTAAACTGACAATGGCTGCTATCTGTCCGACCTGTTATTTTATTTCCTACTCTATAGGTGGTACTGAACGACGACGACGAGGCCGCTGTTGTCGTTGCCGAAGCTTGTCGGCCAGCTGGTTGAGGCTCTTGCCTGCGCGCAGCACCTCGAGCTCAGCGATAGCCTCCTCCTCGCTCTTACCCTGGGCTATACGGCTTAACAGCGCGTCCCAGACTACCTTCCGGCGACAAAACTGTACTTTGACGGCGTTCCCTGGGCGCCAACGGGCCCCCCACCTCTCTTCGAGCTCCCGCATTGCCGGCTGGCCTGCAAAACCCTCTGCCCACTGTTTCCAGACGTCTTGAACTGTAAAGGCCTTTGGCAGGCTTGTAATAATAGGTGCCTCTGCTGGTGGTGGTGACAACGGCTGCCCTAGCCCCGGCACCAGCCCTGGTATTTGACTTGGTGCTGGGCTTGGGCCTGGTCCAAAGTAGCCAGTAAAGGTGATCGGCGTCTTGCCTTGGAGAAAGGCGTCGAGGCTATGTTGCACGCCACAGATGCGCTCTTCTAACTGCCTCGCAAGCTGGGAAGTGAGCTGCTGGGTGTTGTGTAAAATGGCCTTGCCTGTACTCTCTAGAAGGCTATAGAGCTCCGGCATAGCGCGTTGCACAAGGAGGCTCTGGGGTACGACAGCCTCTGCAACGCCGGCTTGGACGGCGCGGGCAAATTCGTCCCACTCCGGGCCATAGAAGGGAGGATAGGAAAAGAATGGCAGCGACGGAAACCGCGGTTGCAAGACGGCCAGATCCTGCAGGAGCACCCCGCGGAGACGCCGCATTAGCTTGAGGAAGCCGTCGCCAGCAAGGTCCTCTTCGTCGAGGCCGCCTTGCGCCCACCGGCACCGGCGCGCACGCGCCTCAAAGCGAGCCTCCCACTCTTCAATCCAGGGCCAAAGCTGCCGCTGTAAGGCATCCGGAGGCTCGTACGCCGCACGCGTAAGGTAGTAGTCCCCCGACGTGCCGGAGAAGCCGGCGGCGATACGCATGAACTGGCGCGGTAGGTGGGTAAGATACGCCTGGCAGAGCACGCTCTGGTTCCAGCGGCCGGCCTGCGAAATTTGGGCGAGCGATGTGCCGTATGTCTCAGCAGCTTGCGCGCCAGCCCGGCGCGGCAGATGTGTCTTCTTCGACGTAGACAAGCCGACCGCGCCAAAGATACGCCAAGTCTCTTGCAGCTGCGTAGGGTAGGAGAGCTCCTGCTCACGGTTCTGCCCAACGAGGACCTTGATCCGATACCAGTCCCGGCGTCGTCGAAAGGACGGAGGCGCCTCGCCGGCAATATGCCAGCGCCAAAAGAAGAGCTGGGCCAGGGCGCCTTGCGTGCAGAACATCGGGTCCTTGTGGCGTAGCGAGCCCATGAATTCCTTTTTCGCCGTCTTGTTCATCTTGCCGTCCCGCAGAAGGCTCACAAGGCAGCCGCATCTAGTTGGGCCTTCTGTTGGCGGGTAGTCGAGCAAAGAGAGGTCTGCGAGTTCCATCATACGGCGGTTCTCGCCTCGCAGGAGGTAGTAATGGCCAAAGAGTAGGTCAACGCGGGTACGGAGGTGCTGTGGCGCTTGGGCAGCTCCGTTGAGCAGATACTCGTGGATTCGGAGCCACTCGTTGTCGGAGTAGCCAGCCTGGATACCATCGCTGCCGCGGTCCTTATAATCATCGCGGTCAAGACGGTGACGCTGCCGGCTGCGCTGCTCAAGAAATCCGCGCACAGCAGCGCCGCGAGGGTTCTCTGTATTCTTGTTGCCATGCGCCACTTGCACGCGCCAGAGCTCCATGACAGCGGCGATATAGGCATCTATCGTGCTCCGGGTAAGCAGAGACCCCGCACCGTCGCCGCGGTCTTCGCCGTCGCTCTCGTCAGCAGGCGCTAGGCCGGGAGGTGGGACATAGTCCTCGCGGTCGTTAGAAAGCAGGGTAACCGCCTCAGCTAGCGGTACCTTCAGGGTCTCCGCGAGGGTCTTGACCTCTGCAAGAGCGGCCTGGTCCTGCTGCTCCCGGCGTACCGCCAGCTGCGGCGTGCGCGAACGGCCTTTCTTAGCGGCCGGCTTCTTGGTGACGCGCCGTAACAGGATGTCCTCGTTGAGCCAGGCGGCGAGCTTATCGGGCGTGACAAGCTCGCCGTCCGGCCAAGTATAGAGGGCCCCGTCCGGCCCAGCACGTGGCGTATGGCACCACTTCTATAGACCCGCGGTCAGCCTAACTCCTATATAAAAGGAGGTAGGAGGTGGCCGGAGGTGGCCGCCGGCCTACCTTCCACTCGCGTTGCTTTGCCAGGTAGCTCCGCGCTGTATTCGCGGGCTGCTCGTCCTTCTTCGCCTGCAGGCCAGCCCTGCGCGCCTCGCGCGCGCGCTCGTCGGCTGCAGCGTACGAATCGTCAGCCATCGAGGTGGCCGTAGGTTTTGGACTTGGCAAGGGGTGGAGGGGGGGGGGCGGGTTGGTGGTGGTGCGTGGTGATAAACCAAAAGGATAAACTTTCCCGCGCACTTATCACCCGGCTGCCAGGCGATTTCACGGGCGAAATCTGGCGGGCGATAAGTGGGGAAGCTAAACCCGGAACGGCAAGGCGCGTTTCAGCGACATTTCACGCGCCATCGATAAGCATTGTTGCCTTCATGTTTGATGAATGTTATGAAAATGCAGGGGTATCATCCTCTCCGCCTAAACGCCGCCATGTCTATATGTCTCAAAGTTCATCATCCTCTTCGTCGTCCGACAAAAAAATCGTCGTCACCCTCTTGACCTCCGCCTTTCCCGACTTGGCCCCTGAAATCTCCATTGGCGTTCCCATCTTGACCTGCACTGGAGGCAACAACCTTACAGGAGACTCCTCCTCCTCCTTCACCGCCACCACAGCCGCCTCACTTTCCCTCTTGGTAGCAACAGCACCATCCACATCCTCCTCCTTCTCCCTCCTTTTCAACTCCGCCAGCTCCCCGTCCAACACCCTCACCTCCCGCACCCGATAAAACGTATCCAGACAGTTCCGCCTCTGCTCCTGCGTCCAGCTCTCCACAACCAGCGCAAAGTCGGTGGCATTCGCGAACCCAAACTCCCTCGCCATGGAGCAAAACTGCCGCCGCATAACCTCGGCAGGCGGGTTGAACTTGTAATGCATCCGCCACGGGTTGTTCTTGTGACGATTACTGTGCTCGCCAGCGACCACACAATTCGCCTGCTGGCTGTCCGCAAACAGCGCGCTGTTGCCCTCCGGGTCCTGGCTATTATTATCTCCAAGGACCTTGGAGGCGGCCAGTTCGGCGCGGCGCGACAACTGAGCCTCGACGCGGCTGGTGCCAATGACCTCAGAATTTTCATGCGTGTACTCGACGCCCGCCGAGGAAAGTATGGCGGCGATGGCGTCGCTCTTGGGCTTGGTCGCTTTCCGCGCGCGGAGGAGCTCCTCCTGGTTCTCGGCCGTCAAGAGCTTGGCGAGCTGGCTCATGCCCGATTGCTCGTCGTCGTCGGGTTCTTGCTTGATGTAGGTTGTCAGCTCGTCGTCCTCGTCCTTGGCCATCTTTGCGAGGTCGATCTCGGTCAGGTGGACGCCGGCTTTCGCCTCGGCGATGTTGGTCTTGTTGACGATTTCCCGCAGCACGACCTGGTCCGCGTGGAAGCTGAAGAGGTTGCTCAGGCCAAAGATCTCGCCCTTGCGCGTGCTGTCTTGCTGCACGCCCTTGAAGTAGCGTCGCTCGTTGGACGCGTTGTATCCGATGTTGGCCTGCTGCTGCTTGTAAATCTGGCGGGCGTAGACGATTTCTTCGATGGTGCCCGCCGAGACGAGTCGGAAGACGTCGACATCGCGGACTTGGCCGATTCTGTACGCTCGGTCTTGGGCCTGCAGGTCATACGACGGGTTCCAGTGGGGGTCGAAGATAACAACCTTGTTGGCGGATGTGATGTTGAGGCCTACGCCGCCGGCTTTCGTCGAGATCAGAAAGACAAATTGGGTGGGATCGGAGTTGAAATCGTCAACCACTTTTTGGCGATCTTCATAGCTCAGAGACCCGTCCAGGAAGCTCACGTTGTAGCTCGTGTTGTGGAACAGGTGCTGGAGGATGCGCAAGAGCCGGACGCTGTGCGAGAAGACCAGCACCTTGTCCCCATTCTCGTGCCAGAAACGAAGCAACTTCCGCAAGATCTTCCACTTTCCGCAAAATTCAGGGTTGGCCAGGTTGAGCATGGAATCCCGGTTCCTGTATAGCTCCTCCCAATCCCCAGGAACGCAGGTCTGAAGCGCCTGAAGCTCTGAACTCTGCTTGTCGTTCGGATCAAGGGCGGACGGAATGAGCATCGTGAGGTGGTTCGCGATCTTCTGGAGCGTCATAATGCTTGGGAACACAATGCTCATCCACGACCTTCCGTCAGGCAGGGTCTTGTAGCAGCACCAACCCCTCTTTCGCCCCGAGTCGCAGTCGCACAGCTCTGATGCGGAGGTGATAAAAGTGACCTGGGGCCCCTCGAGAAAGTTTTGGTAGGCCTCGCTTTGGATGTCGGTCAGGGGGCAGAAGACAACCTTGTCGCTCTTCTTGGGCAGCTGATGGGCAATAAGGGTCTTCATGCGCCGCAAAAAGAATTCTGGGAGCAGGTTCTGGACTAGCTTTTTGGCCGTCGTCCTGGCAATGCTTAGCTGCTTCAGGGTGGCGTCGTGCGACTGGCCGACGGTCAGAGGCTTCGTGATGGTGTTGTTCCACTCGTTGCGCGTCCCAAAATGGCCCGGGTTCGTCCAGTTTAAGAGGGTCCAGAGCTCCTCGTATTTGTTTTGTATGGCTGTGCCGGTCAGGCCGATCCTGCAAAGCGCGTTGACACAGTCCATGGCCTGTGTGGTTTCCGACCTACGGTCCTTCAGGACGTGACATTCATCGGCGACGACGCAATCCCACTCGACCTGGTTGACGGCCTCGTGCATCTTTTTGTAGGTGACATAGGTGGTTATCATGATTTCGAGCCTCCCGGCCTTGGCCGCCTGCAGAACGTCTTGCTTGCCAGGACCATGGTAGGTGTCAACGTGCCACCAGCCCCAGCGGCGCAGCTCGTTCTTCCAGTTTTGAATTAGCGAGCCGGGGCAGACAATCAAGACGCGCGGGTACCAGCTGTCGCCTGCGCGGCGCACCTTCCTCATCCTCTTGGCGTCCCGCTCGTCGGCGGTCTTGCCGAAGGCGGCAGTAAGGAACGCAGCCACCTGCACGGTCTTGCCCAGGCCCATGTCATCGCCCAGAATGCAGCCCTTCTGATAAATGAACCGCTGATGCAGGAACTTGACGCCGGCAACCTGGTAGTCGCGAAGATACTGGGCGATCGAGGCAGGGATGATGCCGGCCGAGTACTCGAGCTCAATGTCTTTGTACGGCCGGCAGGGCTTGATGCCGCTGCTCTCGTCAAACTTGGGGCGCTCCTCGAGCTTCGACCCAATGTCGTCGTCGGAGAAGTAGATGTCGGAGTAGTCCGGGGGCAGCTTCAGGCCGGCATCCTTGAGCACGTCTCTGTCCCTGTCGAATTTCCTCCTCCTCTGCAGCAGGTAATCCGGCAGGCTGGCGTCGGCATATTCCTCATTAGGGCTCGATTCGTCGACGTCGTTGACCCAACGTCTCAAGTTTGCGGCGCTGTTCTTTGTCGACTTGGATGCGCTCCCGGTGCCCTTTTTCGGCGGCCGCTTCCCCTTTGCTGCGGCCCTGCGCTTCGCAGCCCTCTGTACCTTGAGCTTCTCGCTATGGTCCGATTCCTCGTCGGTCCAGGCAACCTTTTCTTCAAAGTCGACACTCGACTTGCGCTTCCCCAGTGTCTTTTCCTTGTATTGAGGGATCTCTTCGGCTGATGGCGCCGTGTTGTTGTCATCCAATATCTCGATAGGACGAGCCATTACTGGAAATGTCGTGCATCGCGCGAGGTGGACCTAAACCAAACAAAGATGCAGTTTTGCGAGTGGTTTATGGAAGATTTTCGACCCGGACACGCCCAGTCGCGGAGGCAAGCGCGGCAGCACAGCGTGGCCACGTGACTGATAAGTTCTAGAACAGCATGGGCAAGCAGGCAAGGTTCAGCAGCAGCAAAATGAACAATCCGAGCTCCAGGCTCCAGTTCCAGATACCGAAAACGGCAACCGCTCAGCTCCAATCATATCTCTGACAACTTCGAAGCACAAATCTTGGCATCCTTATGGTCAGGTGTACTCCCAATCCTTTGCTCCCCTTCCCATCCTTCAGCTCGACCGACCAATGGTGCAATAACTCACTGTGTAGGCTGCAGAACCGGATCGTGACAGGAAAGAAAATCAGTCATCTGGGGGAACATCCTTCCTTGTTCGATTGTCTAAGCCGGAGCTTATGATCCAGCCCTGGGCTAGAAACGTGGAGGGGGTTACCTGCTTCTCATTAACACCTACTTACTTCTCATGCAAATGAGAGCCTGCCCGTCGCCTTGATACCTAGCAGGTTCGTAGCAGTCAACAATCCATCATCCATCCGTCGGCTCTTCTCCCAAGTGATGCATCTACCAAACATGGAGCCGTGAGTTCCAACAGGGGCTTTTCTCAACGGACGCCGGTCTTCAACAGCAAACTCGACGACGATATCAGTCTGCAGCGTTCATTAGACGTATGACCATGGAACCGCAATCCCCTTCGCTTACTCCCCTAGCTTTTACCTGCCCAGTTTCTCTTCCCTGAACGGCTCTCCATTAACTCAGCCTTGCAGCTGCCCAGCTCGGCGACCAAGTCTACTCAGGACGCTTCTTCGATTGGTGACCGATTTCGAGTGAAATTAGCCGCATCTGCATGGCAACGGCAGAGACACCTTTGGCAGGCTAGGCGTTGAACTGGTTGCATGTACGGATACTTGGCACCGTTGTATCGGAGTGTTGGCGAAGACTCCAGCACTTTGGCTTCCGAAAGGGGTAAGCAGGCCGGCATGCTTCAGTCAAAGTCAGACTCGTATAAGTCTGGGCGTGCCGTAGTGCTCACCCCAACCCGAGTACGTTTTGTCTTCCTGGACTACGGCTCCGTCCCCGTCCAATATCACCGCCTTGGTCGGTTGATCCGCTTCCATCGATGGGAGATTTCATGTGTCAACACTCCGTGCCAGGCTGCCACGGAAGATGGCACTGTCAGTCTCCTGCACCGTCACCTCTTAGCAACACTGGCCTCTCTCTACTCCAGTCGGTTGAGCGCCAGGTCCTCAGGATGACTATGACCATCTCAATCTCTCGCGACTCAGCGAAGGCTCGAACCATCGGTCAGTGGATGGCCAGGCACAGTGACAGCAGCGACAACTCACGGACTGAGATTATCGCCATCCATAACTCCTATCCAGACTCATCACCGCTCCCCCAACCGAGGTCAGTGTTTACTTTGCTACAGGTCAAGCAAAAAGCAAAAGCTCACCGGCTAACCCTCTTCGCCGGTCGAAGAGAGGGGCAGCCGACTACAAAACCCTCTGGGAAGGATTTGCTTCGCGCAGGACGCCGGGCTTGGGCTCGAACTGGTGACCTTAGCGGCCAGCGGTACGCACATCAGAATCCCAAAGCCCGGAAGTGTGACCACCGCCGTCGACCATTAGGCGCAACGGGTGGTCGTTGAAACTGGGAGACCTGGACCTTCTACATAAACCACTGACGGCGATGAGCAGATCTCCCTTGTCACTTACTCCGTCTCAATCTTCTCGGCCATCGACTTTCAAATGACCTTCTTGTGGCACAACAAACCGTTCCAACGGAATAAGCGCCTTCCTCGCCGCAACGCACCGGCACAATCCCCTCTCTTTTCCAACCGGCCCCGTCCACTGCAGCAAGCCCAGCAGCGTCTATTCAGCGCCTCTAGCACAAATCCGGCACACGGTCCCTCCTAGTACATACCAAGCCGACACTGCACAACATCCGCCCCTGGTCCATCAGCGAAATGGTACCCCCTGGCCCCCGAGATCAACAGCATCCTGACGATCATCCGCGTGCACAGCGCCGTCTTCTCGCTCGAACCTGGGCCGCACCCTCGCCATCGCCCGCTCCTCCGTCACCGTCTGCGAAGTCAGCGTCGTCTGCGGCCGCCGAACTTCTTCTCCTACCATCCGCTGCACATGTGCACCCTCTCCGACCTCACACCGTTACCCAGCACGGCCTAATGCGATGCTCATCGTCGACTACAGCATCTTCCTGTTCAGGCCATTCCGGAACCCAAACGTCCATCCATCATCATCCCCTTCCGAGTCCCTTTTACCTTCCCACCATACCCCGTGCTGGTGTTTCGGGTGGCGGAGGTGGGGATCGCGGTTTTGTATTTGGAGGATACGATCGTTGATCTTGGCAAGAACAAGAGCCGTGCATCAGACTTCTGGCCCATGAAGGTGGTTCCTTCGGAAGGGGATGGATTGGGAAGGAAGGAAGGGCTTCGCGACCGAACAGGCGATGGTTTAGGGTGCAGGCAAACCCCCGATCAGAAGACGGCGGAGTCGAAGCTGTGATGGCAATGGCTTTGTGGTATATTTACCAGTGAGTCCACCATTGCATGTGCTCTAGGAAAATCTATGTCGTTGCTGAGAGAAAACAGGAAATCTGTACGGCCAGTACAATGACAAACTCCCTTCTACCTGGAGAAGATCCGCCACAAACTCGCTGCACGGGCTGACAGGCAAAACTAAGGTACGCCACCGATTTGAATATTAAGCAGGCATACTCATAATAACTAAAAAGAAACGGAGAAAAATCAACGCTCATGACGAAAGCACCCAGGATTCTCGCCACCCCTCCCTCCCCCGCGTCTACCAAGTAAACATCATCAGAGCCGGGTTCAGCAAAACGGGCAGCGCAAAGTGCGACACAACGGTCGCCGCCAGCGGGTAGATGCTGTAAAAGGTGTTGATGCGCCACTCGACCGGGAAGATGGTGTTGCCGCAGATCATCAGCGCGGTGCAGGCGAAGCAGTAGAGGAAGGTCCACTTGAAGCGGCGGATAATACGCAGAATCTCGGGCCCGAAGCGTACCTCCTCGAGCTCCTTCGCGGTCGCGCCCCAGGCCATGTCGATCTCGAAAAAGTGCGACAAGATGGCCTGTGACATGTGCAGCGAGATGCCGCCGAGAAAGATGGCAAACATGGGGATCCATTTGAGGTTCTCAAAGTCTGCGACCCCGAAAGGTTAGTGGACGACGCAAAAAGAGACAAGAAGGAGAGGGCAAGAAGGACGTACAGGCTGACAGAAGCGACTGCTCGCTCAGCCGGTACCGCAGCACCGCCAGCGCCAGGTTACCCAGCGCGGTAAACACGACAATGATGGAGATATAAATGGCGAACGAGTCGAGGTAGAATTTGTCGTACAGGCCATAGAACCAGCCCGTGATGAAGTAGTTGGCCAGCGTCAGACACCAGGCCGCGGCAATGGCATAGTAGGTGCCAATGTACGCGAGGATGGTCATCTTCTTGGGCAGCGGAATGCTGGACCCGATAAAGCGCTTGAACAGCGGCGTGAACGGCCCCCGCACGAGCCAGAAGCGCAGCGGGTGGAACAGCAGCTCGTTGCACCCGTAGGCGTACTTCTCCCACCGGGCGAGCTCGTCGTAGACGGTCAGGCTGACGCCCTCCTTGAAGCCGGGGCCCGTGTACGAGGCGTAGCGGAGCGTGTACCCAGCGACCTGCAGGCGCAGCGACATGTCGAAGTCCTCGGACACATGCGACTCGGACCAGTACTTTTCGTACCCGTCTTCGTCCGTGAAGGCGGCCGCGTCCTGGATGGCCTGCCACCGGAGGATAGCGTTGTGGCCGACGAAGGGGCAGGCGTCGCCCGACGCGACGGCGAAGGTGATGCACGAGTAGATGAGGCGGGTGAACCAGGTGACGCTGGGCAGAAGGTTAGTGGTTTTTTCTCTCGTTAAGGGTGAGAAAAAGAGGCATGCTTACCCATTCTCAAAGAAGGACTTGGTAACATTCATCACGTCCGACTGGAACTGCAAGATGGCCACCTCCGGGCTCTGCTCCATCTCGCTGACGGCATCCAGCAAACAGTCGTGCGGCACGCGCGTATCCGAATCGATGAGCAGGATATAGTCACCAATGCGAATGTTGCCCTCGGCCCAGGTCCGACCCTCGTCCTCCTGCAGCACGTCGGCCAGGCACTGCTGGTAAGCCGAATTCTCCCGCTCGTTGCTCCACTTGCTGCCGCGCTTGACGGCCGCCAGCTTCTCCTCGACGCGGTTGCTGATGTGCAGCGCGTAGTTCATGTTGCTGGCTTTCTTGAATTTTCCGCGGCGGAGGAACTGCTTCTCGCCCGAGTCGGCCGCCGGCTTGGGGTTGTGCTTGGGGCGGGCGACCCAGCCGATGTTGTGCTCGTCGTAGAAGTCACGGCGGGCCTGGGCGTCCTCGTCCGACATGAGCTGCATGCCGTCGTCATTGACAAAAATGTTTGCCGTGCCGCCCTGCATCTCATAGGTGCTGATGGCCGCCTTGAGCGAGACGACGGTCGGCTTGATGACGGCGTTGAGGCCCTCCCGGTACACGGGCATCTGGATGGTGACGTGCGGAAGCGTCCCCTGGGTGCGGTCGAGCCGGCGAGGCGCCCTGCCGCTGTAGTACTTGCTGTTGTTGTTGACGGCCGAGATGGGGCCAAACATCTGGAACAGACAGGTGATGATGGACTGGAAGAAGAACTGCACACGGCCATCAGCAAAACAACATTCGGCCCCAACCATCCACATGCAGCGACACAACGCACCAAGCTGACAAACATCTGCGCCGGCGTCGCAGCCAGAAGCGCGAACCTCAGGTACGTGCCGTCCACCGTACTCTGAAACACCAACGCCCTCCAGCCCAAGGCGGGACAAACAATCCACAGCGCCAGCGTGAGGGCCACCATGAAGGCGCTCTCGAGCCTGACGGGCCGATTCTCCTTGGCAAGCGCCTCCTCGAGCTGGCCGGGATCGACCTCGTGCACTGCGGCGCCCGCACTCTTCTTCTCGCCAGCACCATCATCCTCCTCGGCCTCCTCGTCGCCGTTCCCCCAGATGATCTCGACGAACCTCGACTCCAGCGTCTGCACCCTCGCAAGCAACTTCTCCGGCTCGTCGTCCCATACAATCAACATCCTCACATCCTCCACAAATGCCGCGAAATGGTGCAGCTGGCCGCGCGGCAGGTCTGCCATGGTCCTCAGCACCTGCACCCGCAGCCCGTCCGGCAGCGGCACATAATCCAACTCCGTCTTGGTGACGATCGAATCCAGCAGCGCCCTGACGACGGGCGTGTTGACCGTCATGGCGCAGCGCACGTTCATCTGGGCGACGACCGCAAAAAGCGAGTCCGGGATGGCGGCCATCTGCGGCGGGCAGCAGGTGAAGTTGCCGCGGGCCTTCTTCAGGACGACCCCTTCGTACGGGTCCAGCCCGGAGGCGTACTGCTTGCGCAGCTGCTGCTCGTGCAGCCAGTTGACCATCATGTCGTTGCGGATCTCGTTGATGGTGTCCGAGTCGCGGCTGCGCGCGTCGTGGGCCGGCAGGAACGAGTGCCGCAGCGACGGGGCCCGGGACGTGTTGGGGCTGTTTTTGGCCGTCGAGGTAGCCGTCGTGTGCTGGGCCGCGGCGACGACGCCCGGCACGGAGAGCATGCTGGCGCCGGCCGAGGTCGGGCTGGTCTGTGGGGAGAGGCGGCCCGAGGTGGTGGATGGTGGTTGTAATGGTGCTGCGGCAGCGGCTGGTCCCGATGCTTTCCCCTGCCGCATCGGCTGGAGCTGGTGTGTCGACGCCTTGGAGCCCGACCGGCGGGTCCGGGCTCCTGCTACCTGCGGCGTCTCATTGCTCGCCGGCTTCTTCTTTTCCTCATCCGCGGCCGTTGTGGGTGTGAAGTACGACTGAAACTTCTTCATGATGGTAACGATCGGACCGGGTCGATTGATGAAAAGATTGGGATTGACAAGGGTGAGTCCCGGAACACCCCGTCACCTTGGCTCCGAACTCGATGCTGTCCCTGGGCCAATACCTGGTCCGTTGTCCGTGGTCCGGGGGGAGAATAACCTCGGGGGCCGAGGCAGAGAGGGTCGCCGGAGGGCTAGGAAGCGGGCGATTACACGTGTGATGGAAGCAAAAAGGAAGAAGAAGGGACAGGAACTGGGTGTGCTGGAGGAAGAAGCTCGCCCTTGAGGCTGAACGCCGCTAGTGGGGAGGGACGGAGGCTCGAGAGTCGAGACCGGACAACGCAGAGGCTTGCGGCTCGCCAGCGAGCCTGATATGGTGACATTGCCCAGGGGCATGGGTCGCCGGGCCCCAAGGACTAGCGCCTGCGTCTACTGCCGCCCAGAGCTCTTTTTTTCCTTTCTTCCCTGGCACCCATGTCTATTTCAGCGGGTCGATGCCAGCCTCTGCAGGCGTCTCAGGTCATCGAACAATGGACAACACAGCAACGTGGACGAGGGAAACCCGTATTCTGTGCTGGTGAGGCGTCCAGCCAGCAGTCCAGCAGGGAAGGGATCGACAAGCCCTGCAAGAGGTGGGCTGGGTGTGTGGGTATCTCGGCAGTGGGAGATCCGCACCACTCCCTGGTCGTGTTCAAACGCACAACCAACCAAAACTCATCCAGAGATCATCCTCGCAGGCTTTGTTGGGGGCAGATTCCGGACGGCCCGTATCTGGTGCGACCTCGCCTCGTTCTTTTTTTCACTCTCCGATTCTGATCGACTGAACAGGTCTTCCGGATGGAGCTCGACGGGCTTGACTTGAGAATTTGCCCCTGAGCTGCCTCTGCATGGACCAAGTCTTGGCTTGTGATGGTTTTCACGATTTGATAGTTCGTTCCGTATCCGGAATAGACCGATGCCCAGATCTCAAACCAGGAGTGCGCTGAGCCGGGGGCGGCTTGCTGAGGAGCTGAGGCTGATACGCAATATATTAGCCCCTTGCCAGATCGGTCGCGGTCGTTATCAAAGGAGCGGATTCCAAAATCCAGAATCGCTGGTACGTGTCACCCAGAGGGTCTCGCAAGCTTGTCATTCAAATCTCCCTGGGACCCTTTCTCACGGGGTGGCACAGGCGCCCGTGGGTCTTTGAAGCAGAATATTCCTCGTTTCCGTCGGTTGCTGGAAGTCTGGTAACGACGGAGGCGCAGAGGAGAATCTGCCGGAACCCGAAAGCGAGACAGAGCTTGATGAAGCTGATGTTGGTGACACGATAGGCGCAGCCACTAACAGTTGCAGCGCCAGGTTTTTAGGCCTCGTGGCTGCAGGGCCCGCTCAGCTGGTCCTGTTTGGTTGTCATCGCCCATTATTCAGCGCCATTTGTTGTCCCTGAAGTATTTCCTTAGAGGCCGACCCAAATCGCCGGTAACATCCATCTATATCGACACAACTCCCTACGGAACAGTGTTGATGGGGGTCTCTCGGTGCCAGGCTTCTCTGAGAACTGGTGACCATCGCGTACCTATCACTGCCTGCGATCTGGTGTGTCCCAGGCTGCAGCGATCGTCGAACCAAGAGGAGCAAAGCGAATGCGGCTCTGAGACACCCCCACCAGAGTTGCTGGTTGCTCAGGGGACGCCCGCGCTGCCCAAACCTTGGATATTGTCTCCAATTCCATAGCTCCGGATTATGATTGCTAGTCACACAGGCAAGGCTACCTTATCCAAGTTCGTTTGCGGTCTATCCGTACGTTCTTGACGTTCGGCGGGCTGGCAGCACAGCATCTCATGTTGCTCTGATGTCATGTCGTATTCCGTCCTTCCCGCTGCCCCATTCCTTCCACATGGATATGATCAGCACCAGTACGGCTAAAGATAGAGAGATCCCGGCGGGGCTGCCAACATGGCCTGATTGGCCCGTGATCGTAAAAACTCATTGGTGCCGCGGGTCGATATCAATGGGTTCATCGCCGCTTTTCCGACTGTTCGAGACTTTGGCCATTCACGCCGACAGTCGAGCACGTCGATCCTTCCGCAAAAGCTGGCTGGTCAGCTCGGATGGACCTGCAGGCCGCTCAACAGAGACCAGGTTTGACGAAGCAACGCAGCACTGATGAAGCATCGTATGCATTATCGATGTCGTTGCTGACCCAATCGGAGGTTGACTTTTGCAGCTGGGTACGGATACATAGCTCTTTTGCAAGAGGAGATGATGAGACTAAGGGGCGTCGGTGAGTTTTGTATTCTCAACCAGGCATCCAGGGCAACAGCACTGAGGCTGTCCGCCTCACCGCCTTGTAAGAGTCCAACTTGGTACGAGCCGATGGATTTTGCGCGCTTTACGGGTTAGAAAGCCTCAACCATGTTCTCGGACCTCATGCTCTCTCCAGGGTTGCGACACGTCTTTTGGTGAAACAGGTGTGGTTGCGAGCCTGTGCTGTCATGAGGAGGGGTACCGGTTAACCGGTATGGAGGCGTCGTTGACGTTTTAAACCCTTCCTGTACTCTTTTTATTCGTTTCTCATCCTTTTCTTTTGGCGTGTTTGATTTCTTTTCTTTTCTTTTCTTTTCCGCTTTTCTTTCCCTCTTCTTGTCGATAATGGACCGTTCTTCACCGGTGTGACACTGCAAACAAACTTGGAGTCAGCGCTGAATGGCTGTGTATTGTTAGGTATTCCAGATTATTGTACAATAACAGGCCAATGGAGCTTGATTGTTCGCGTAACGTGGGAGCATATTAACAGCGACGATTCCTTATTGTCTGTTATAGAAATGTGTAATAGTTTTCCCTAGAATGCGAATTGTCAAGAAACCCCAAATTCCAGGCGAATGCCTTAACCTTACTTTGGCGGTGTTGACTTGTCGGCGAGAAAGCTAAGACGTCACATGGCCAACAAAGTGCAGTTGGTTAAGTGGGACAGAAGTGTTCTGGAATGTTAACGCTAAGGTGCCAGCATCAAGCTAAAGCTTAACAGGTGGGGTGAGATCATGACTACCAACGGCGGGGCTTGCTGAGTGGGATGAAGGTTAACGTTAAGCTGCAACCGCTTTTGACAGTAACTGCCCTAACCACAGCATCGCAATCATTGCGTACATCGGACTGGCAAAACCTGCCAGTTTTTCTGACTGCTACGATGACCACTTGCTTGGTTTCGTCCATTTTATGATCCGTTCTTCGTGTTCTTGCTAGCTACAGCCCCTTGCCCCTTTTGTTTGCCGTTGATATCCGCTGCTTTTGACGACGTCGGCATCATACAATTGACGCTCGAGGCAACTCGCTGATTGTTGCACTCGACAACCGCTCCTCCCATCTTCACATTACACGACATATTCCTGTCATGGCCGTGTTTGTCGACTTGGGCGAGGAGGACGGCGAGCCTCCACATAATGGGCAGCCGGTGTGGCACGGCCTGGTGGATGCCGTCAAGCCGGTGCCGGTAACGGCAGCAGCAAGCAGCGGCTTCCCGGTCGATGGCGGCGCTGGCGACACAAGAAATATCACCGGCAAGCAGCAGCAGCATGAGGAGGCTCAAGGGCGCGCCGTCGCGGAGAACCTGAACCGGAACTCCATGACGCAGGCCCTGGGATGCTATCCGTAGGCGGCACCACCCTTCGTGCTTCGCTTTTCTCGTTGCATGGACACAATCAAAACCACCTTGGCAGTTTTGCTCCGCCAAGGGGTAAACTTTGCTGACTGGATGACCAGTATCATCATGTCGGTGGCCTCGTCCATCGACCTGAACACGCTCGACAATCTGTCGCGGACCTGCCGCCAGATCCGGGAGAACCTGCTGCAGTACCGCAAGATGCTGCTCGTGTCGACCCTCCATTGCACCAACGAGCACCTCCCCGTCGACCCGGAAGAAACCCTTCGATTCCGTGCGCGCGCTGCCAACTGGTACTACATGCAGGACGCGGGCCGGTCGGGTTATCATGGGAAGTCGGGCCAGTGTGCTCGGGATCTGGTAGCCGAGTGCCGGCGCTGCGGCACCGTTGTCTGTCGGGTAAGACTTACCGCGGGTTCTTTTTGCCTCTGCACGGGAACGGACTGACCCGGTCCTAGAACTGTACGACCAAGCCTCCTGCTCCGATTGCCCTGCCCGGCCGCCATCGGCGTCTCTGCGCCGCATGCGTGACGGCCCCTCTGGGCTCGCTCGTCAAGCCGCCACTTGGGCCCGAGGTCCGGCTTGATTCCGACGAGATGGCGCGGGCGGTTTGTACGTGCGAGTTGATAGGTGTCTGGCTCTGCCAGCCATGCGGAAGGTCCATCCGCGGCGACGACTTAGAATACAAGGGGTAAGCCTCAACCTCTCAACTCCCCAACCGTAATCTTCCCGACTCCTCACACCTCACTGCCTTTAGCATCTGGAAATGGCGCAACAACTACACCGAAGTCCTCGGTGGCCTGGGTACAGGCATAGGCGAGGGTGACCGCGGCGTCATCTGCGGTCGCGAGGACCAGTGCTGCGCGGCCCGCGAGCGGGAGCAAGAGATGGACGGCGACGCCGAGGACGCCAGGGAAGCGGAATACTACCAGCAGACCACCGCAACCCCGCGCAGCAACAGCAGCAGCAGCCACGGCGCAACCTCGTCGTCACTGGCGCCGTGGACCTTGAGCGGGCCCGGTAGCACCACCGCCAGCGTCAGCAGTCTTGCCAGCTCGTCGGGCGGAGGCTCCGCCCTCGATCGGAGGACGCCTAGTCCCGCTCTCAAGCCCGGGTACGAGGGACACGAGGTGGAGGGGATTGGGGGCGTCATGAAGAAGCTGCGGGTTCGCATGGTGAAGGTGGGCGCTTGCGTGCCCGAGTGGGATGACGAGCGAGCCAAGGGCGAGATTTTCGGTCGCGAGGTGCAGGGTAGGCGGAGGAGTTGGTGCGGGTGGTGCAGGAGGGTTATTCCTTCGCGGAAGGACTACGAGGCGGGCATGAAGTCCGAAAGCAAGGGCAAGGGGAAGGAAATGGAGGCGTCGGCGAGCTGAATGGCGATGTTGTGGGAGACGGGGCTGTAACGAATCAAACTAGCTATGATTTTGACCGGTCCATCGCGAAACAAGACTCGAGAACTGGGACAGTCTACGCTTCCCTGCGGCATTTCATAGATTTCGTAATGGAGCATGGTTCCATACCAGATATGCCAGACGGCTTCAACAGGGACTAATTGAATGTTTAGGGTGGTGATGGAAACATCAAGAGGAATATACAAGGTACATTTGTGCATTATACAATGGAGGGACTGACAACGCCAGCCGTCCTTCACCGCGTAGCTGTCTTACAGATCCGTCTATGCCCGCCAAAGACCGCTGAATGCCTGCCCATGCCATTCATCGTACAGTGATGCTCCTGCCATGCCATCCGCCGAACATTAGCAAGGTGCTGCGAGATCCAGCTTGTCACCCAACCATAACCATAGCCCCTCAGTACTAGACTGGGCAGCATTGGACTTGCTCTGCAAGGAGCCGAACCATTCCAACCCCTCTTTGGGCCGAACTCTGACCCGAAAACACCGCGAGCATATCCAACCACCATATCTTTCCGTGCAAATTCGCTTTTCGGCTCCCTCCTTCTACGTCGACTTCTTCCTTTCTATAACTGCCCGTTAAAAAGCATCTCCATCCTCCGATGCCGCTCCTCCCGCGCCGCCCTCCTCCGGGGGCCCCACCGCGCCTTGACTTTCTCCTCCTGCTCCTTGATCTTTTGCTGGTGCTCCTTGGGCGCCTGGCAGCACATGAGCACAAACAGCTTACTGCACTGAAACTGCCGCGCCAGGTTCTGCACGCTGTTGGTCACGGGGTCCTGCTCGCGCAGCCGCCGCATCTGCTCGATGTCTTGCGGCGTGAGGTGGTGCCGCGGTTTGAGAACGGGCGGGCCCTCAATGGAGGGGAAGGATTCCGGTGATGGGGTCGTTGTTGTTTCGGCGGAGGGAGATGCGGCGGAGGAGGGGCTGTAGTTGTATTGGATTGTTGTCGACGAGGCGAACAGGTTCGAGGTCAGGTTTGCCATGCGGCGCGGGTCGGTCTTGGGGAGGAACTTGAAGGGGGTGTGGAAGACGGAGGGGGCTGACGAGGGCGGGTTAAAGATAATTTCGTCGCTTGTGGGGCGGGATGCAACGGATTCGGGGGTCTTGTTGGGGTGCAGGAACGACGGGTGCGGCGGGATGTTGAGCGCGCGGCGTGTCCGGGCGGCGGTCGACTTTTGCCGGGTGCCCGAGGGGAGGCTGCTGTTGAGGAGGAGCCTGGTGGATGACGGAGCTGAGGACGCAGCCCGGCGGCAGCAGGAGAGTGCTGGCCTTGTTACAACGGCTTCCATGTTGGATGATGATCGTCGTCGTTTGGAAAAGGAGACGTTGTCCGGTGGAGGAAAATAAAACGGGCGAGGTGCAAATATACAGGCGAGAAAGGAATTGGGTGCTGCCGGTGTGGAGGTCGGAGAAGAAAGATGGAGCAAGACACAATAGATTGCCGGGCTTGTCTGCGTTGTAGTCGGAGCCGCCGTCCACCTCCTTCACGCTCAACAGCTGCTGTCTCCTTCTTGAGTCGCGATGTTGAGAAGCAACTTTTTCTCGGCCATTGCCGGGAACGTGTCACGTGGATGCTGGGCTTCTCTTCGGTTAGCGCTGGACTTTGGTATGCTCCAATCAGGGCTCGCTTGGACCGGTGTCCGGCTCCTCTTCCCCGTGCCGGGCCGAGTGGAGCATCGGTTCGATCGGCGTGATCCAGGTTGATGTCCAACAGGACCGAATGCGACAGTTGTTAATTAGCGTCTGTGTGACCAAATGGGCTACGATAGGTTCCGAGACCTAGCTTGCGAGGCAGTGACGGCGGCATTATGATTTGAACCTTTCTCTGGCCTCTTCGACTACTTTTCGCTAGACATCTGGAATTGGCGGTTATGGTTTCGCCGCTGCCGGCTGGTCCGAAATACTGATACCAGTAGTACAAACGGATATAGGTGTCTTGAACCCAGAGAAGTGCCTCGTAATGCAATTGGAATGCACAGTACCCTTTGGAGTGGTGTTTGTCTGACACGAAGCTTGGGTACAAAATCATGCTGCGCCATATGGTAGGTATGGTGCTTCGGTATCCTCCCGCAAATTCGCCGTACTTCCTGCCTCTCACGAGACCGAATCATCCCGAGGTCGAAAGTTGGGATGTGATGTACGGAGTAGCATCTCGGCCGTCTTAGACTCCTTTCCGAAGGTCCTCCACCGAAATAGACCAAACTGTTGCCAAAATATCTATTGCTGGCAGCTTGCGAGGTACGGATCTGGATGAAGCTGATTACCACGGCGGCTGCACAGCTAGGATGGGTATGGCCGTTCCAGGTCCCTGAACCACATCCAACTGTGCCGTTGACGCAAAGAAATGTACGTGTGCCTATCATTTCAGGAGATCCGTTGAATGCATTGGGATTGCCAGAGGGCTGTGTTCAGGGAGATGTCTCATGCGGATGATCTTCAGAGGCCCAAACTTACGGATAGTCTGCACTTGTTTCAGCTTGCGTTCAGCAAACGACGAGCTACAAACCATATACAAAAAAGCATGGCAGGAGAAGATGCCATGAAGGCCCGTCATCAAGAAAAAAGGGATTTTGAAGTCTGTGGATGTGATGACGAAGCTTCCCTCGGAACTAGGTGTTTAGGTCTACTTACGCGAAACAATGGCCCGGTTGGCCCAATCAAGCGTGGAATCAGGGGTAAAGTCATCATCACCCGCTGTCATGCGATCTATGTAGGACTTGGAAGTGGCCTCTGGTGTCGGTGCTCTTCCTGCGGCTGAGGTGCAGCGCCCTCGACCGTATCCATGCGGATCAAACGCAAGCCGCCATGTTCAACCGCAAGAACTTCCATGGACTCAAAAGCTGAAAGTTGACATCCAGCCTACTATATAGCAAACGGGAAAGCGGAACGTTGAAATTCCATTCCTGCACAACCCTCGACCGTTTGGTTAACCAGGCGGGTCTTGGCATTTTTTGTCCAGCCTTACGTCGTCAACGGCACTCTGAGTGGACCCCTTTTTTTTTCCCGGCGACGACCCTGCAGCGATGCAAAGCAGCGTCACTCCCTGTTGATCGCGATTCACAACCTGAGGTCACCGGATCCTGTCGTTCCTCGAAAATAAAGAAAACGACTCCGGCACAACAAGCCCTTCACGCGTTCTACAAGACCGCATCTCTCTCCGGACTACTTAGCGGCGCCCAGTTGCTATCTGCCGGTTTTTTATAGTCTCACACAGTACGTGTACCTTGGCTGCACGAAACGGAGAAAACGGGGCCGACCGGGAGTCCAACAAGCGAGAAGAAGCGCCGACGGCAGCGGCAGAACAGAAACATCTCGAAGCGGGCCTGGATCCAGGAACCGCCGAAGAAACAAAAGCCGCCCACTTCCCTGCAACACATCACCTTGCGGCTTAGGCCTAAAGGCACCACAAGCTGTGTTTTGCAAACACGCAGTTCACCACTCCCACCAGTGTTTTTTCTCGGTTGCTCAGCGGTTTCCGCGTCGCACCGAGCTGCGGTTCGACCAAGGTATGACGCCCACAATCTCATGTTAATTGGTCCCACGACACAGCACCCACTTTACAATCGATATATTTGCGGCGAATCGTAGATTCTACCTACCGTCACACGCCGCGTTTGTCTTTGTCGCGAGACTTCCTTTTATCCCCGCTGCCGGCGCTCTGTCGGTATTTGGGGATTCCATCGTATACGTCCGGTTCACGACGACAGGCCACTGCTAATACCTCATCTCTGCTATTGCAGATACTAAACCCAAGAGCCGTCATTTGGCATCACGCGACTAGCACCACTCTGTCACCAGAGCATCACCATTTCAACAGCATGAGCCTCGCGACGGCAGCGCCTGCCCAGGGCAGCCACACGATTCCCACGCTGGCCGAGCCCTCCGAGTGTGAGCCAGGCACGGGCAACGCGACCCCACGGGCCGCCGACGGGGAGGAGAAGAAAAAGAAGCGCAGTTTGTTTGGGTTTGGCAAGAAGAAGTCACAGGAGCCCACGAAGCCGCCACCCAAGCCCTCTCCCTCGAGCAAAAGTGCGCCGACCGCGGCGACCCGAACAACGACGGCCTCACCTATTCAGACAGATCCCGCCCGGTACTCACCGTCCTCCCCAGGCCGTCCGGGCTTCGCCTCATCTCCCCGCCTCGCCTCGCCAGCCGGCAGTCAGATCTTTGAGCGCGACGTCCAAGAAAGCGCCGCCGCCATCCTCCCCAGCTCCCCAGCCATTCCCTCCCACATCCAAACCGAAAACTACATCCCTCCCGTCCTCGACGCCTCCTCCGAAGCCATCACCGACGACCACCTCAACCCGGACACAGTCGAGATCATCACGCACACCTCGCACCAGCCGGCCTCGGTCGCCGTGGCAGGCGGCCTCACTCCCCATCCCCACAACGAGCCGCATCCGCATCCGCACCAGCAACCCTCGTGGGCCGACGAACTGGCCGCATTTGCCGCCCACCGCACCCCGGCCACGCTCTCCAACGCCAACACCGACACGGCCTCCAACTACGGCAGCTTCGACACCACCGACGTTCGCCGCCTGAGCTTCATCTCGTTCGCCGACGTCGTCCAGGCCGAGCAGCAGCAGCAGCAGCAGCAGGCCGTGGTTGGAGGTTCGCGCGACAGCATGCACCTGGCCGGGTTAACGTCGCTCGCAGCCTTGAACAGTCACGTCCGCTCGCCGTCGCCGATCCGCTCGCCCGTCTCGTCGGCTGGCGGCGGTGGTGGCGCTGGTGGCACGAGCCCGCCGACGAGCAAGTCGGGCTCGGTCAAAGGGCTTGAGATGTCGCCTGGTAGGAAACCGCTCGGTAGTCCGACGAGTATGATCAGTATGCAGCTTGGTGGGGGCGGTGGGAGTCTGAGTGGTGGCGGGTCGCCGGTGGTGAGCGGGGAGATTGCGATTGAGACGATGAGTCAGGCGTTGAGGAGGACGGGGAGCGGGGATCTTGGTGCAGGGCAGGGGCGCGGGGTTGGGAGTTGGCCTGCTAGTCCCATTTGATCTGTGAGGTGTCTTGCCTGAGAATGAGCTGGATTTGAGTAGGGGAGTTAAGGGGCGAGTTGTGTGGACTCAATGGTATGAGATGGGAGAGTGTGTAGTGGTTTGCGGGGTTCACTTCCGCAATGTTTTTCATGGCCGCCCCTTTTCGAAGGAAGGATATCTGGGCACCCCTCTTCAGAGGGGTTCTCTGTGTAGAGCCGTGTGCTCTTGGAGGACGTGGAATGGCTGATCGCTTGCTCATTTTGCGGAGGCAGGTATGCCACACCGAGTTTTTGGTCTGGATGAATCGGCGTTGTGATATTCAAGAGGGACAGGGATGTCTTGCTGAAATACGCTGCGTTGCCCGAGACAACAAACACATTGCAGGATACCCACTCAAGTCAGTCGATCGGTCAGTCAGTCAGTCAGTCAGTCATTGGGGAAATGATGGGTGTGTGGGCCGAAGAGGGAGAGGAATGAGATATGGTGCAGTTGTTTTCTGGGTTTGTTGCGTTGGAGAAATGGCGTTCTTGGTTGTTTGCCTATTTCTTTTTGCCTCGGGCTGTCCTGTCGTCTTCCCTCTCTGACCAGTTTTGTGTTTTTGGATGGCTGAAATACCAAGGTTTGTTTGCTTGGTGCGTTTCGATGGGCCCCCGGGGGGGGAGGGGGGGGGGAAGGTGACTTGGAAGAGTATGGTGCTTTGGATTCGTTTCTTTTCGCCACCGGGCTGTGTCGGCTGACATCCTTATTTCTGCGCCCGTTGCTTGTGTTTATGTCTTCGCTAGTCGGTGATAGTGCTGGTGGGAGATAATTCCGTAGAGTGTAGTCGGTTTCTTGTCTCATATGCTTCTCTTTTGCCATCATCTTGAGGTGCCAGTTGCCCCTGAGGCGGTGAAGATAGGGGGAAAAGTAAACATGAATCTCAATCATACTAGCTGGGATTTCAGCCACTTTCTTCCGTTTCAGAGGTGTGTTGTGCCATAAACTCCAGGGCCGATGATTGTTTCGAATCACTGATTGTCTGTCTGCTCTCTCTTCTCAGACGGCGTTGGCTTGGTTGGTTCTGGAGGTCAGATCCGCTAAGAGTTGCCCGGGGTGCGTAGGTATCAAAAAGGAGTTTCTTTGTTGATATGATTCCTACTACATACTCAAGTGACTGCGTGGTTTGACGACAAGTTTAGCTGATGACACTGACACTTCGTTCTGGCTGGCTGCTGGGGAGAACTCCGGCAACAGAGTGGGCATGCAGACCACCCTTTCATCAGCCTTGGACAGGTTGGCTCTCTTGCTGGTCATGTACGTATATATGGCCTGTCCGCAGATAATTCTCAGCTGGCGAAAAGGTCCAGTCGCGCACCCCCGCCTTTCATCCCAACCTTCTGTGCCTACCCGCAACACAGGCACACGCCGCTCAACTTACCGCCCCATCCCCGCGGTTCATCAACTTACCGTCCTGCTCCCTCTTCCAGCCAGAATTGAGCGGTTGGCGCAGTGGTTTCAAACCGCAACTCGTGGGAGCCCCCCGCGACACCATATTGTGGATCGTACATAAACAGAGTCGCCCCCCCTTCGACTCTGGCAATGTTTCATTTTACGACTTCTTCTACATTTTGATCAATGCCAGTCAACAGCACACTGACAACCGATAATGTATTCATTCGTGAGCACTGGTTTTGTTCTTGTTCCCCTTCCTCTTCCTCTTCTTCTTCTCCAATCCTCCCCCGGCAGCAGTCCTCCCTCAACAAGCCATGACGTCTACTGCTACTCCAGGCCGTTTTTGACTGACGCCCCAGGGTTTTCGCGCACTTTGATCCAGATCTAGCAAGCTCAGGGAGTGAAGGCGCCGATGGAGCGATGGTCCAGTTGCAAAAACACATGCCGGGAGGTGCAAGACAGGAGTGAGCTGGTGTAGGGAGCACACGTATATTTGGATCGAAGGAGCTGGAGCGCGATGATTTTGATCCGCCCCTGATCCTGCTCGTTCTTTCTGTTCTGGGCCACACGAACTCATCAAGGCATACGACGCAATGATGTCATTGTCCTTTGAAACTACTTCCCTAGCTCTTCTGGGCTCCATCTGCCCGAACTCGCCGTTAAAAACTCGATGCCCATCCTTCCCTCCTCTTGAACAAACTGAAAGCGAACCCGAAACACCACGAACGGATGAACAAGTAGTTACTGAGGGTGAGAGAATAACAGAACGACGGAAGGACAAGCAGAGACATAAAGAGAAAGGCACCGGAGCCCCCTTAGCTGCAAAGCCATGCACCCCTTCCGTGGCCTGATCTTTCTTCCACAAGGCACCTGGATCAAGCAATTGATACCAAGTATGCATGAGAGACCTCCGGAGACATCGTGCCGCCGTGATGGTGGATAAACTGGATGACTGGATTTTCGGGCCGTACCTCAGCAACGAAGGGGGCATGAATATGGGCAGAGAGACAGCCCGATTACCCCTTTTGCACAAACTAACTGTTACCTTGAATAGTTCATCTACGTTTCTATACCTACCGACCGCAGAGGGCACCTGATTTGATCAACGCCATGCCCCAACCACTGCACCAGGGAGATAGAGAACCAATAGTGTCAGAGAGTGTCGGAAAGCATTAGAGCACAGTATCGTACCATCGCACCAAGTGGAAACAAGACGAGTAGGGAAACGTCAGTCATTATGTCGACTAGGGCCAGCAGCTCAGTCAGTTCAAGTTGGATGAGGGAATATGAGCAAGTGTAATTGACAATGAACTCGCATCCTGACTCTCTCTGGGAGGTGCGGTACGAGCTCGAAGAAAGACATTCAAGGCTGACAACTCGCGGGCGAAGGTCCGGGCACCAGCAGCCGCCAGACGATACTGGATTATCCTTTGGGTTCTGGTAACCGAAGGTACCAGTAGGAAGAGATTGGAAAGGCTGATACATGGAACATAAAGGTAGGATGAGATTTGAGAAGTGGTTGGCGCTGCTGACAACGGCGTGGTTGACGATGCTGCAGCTGCAGCTGCAGCTGTTGTTATTGCTGATGTTGCTGGCTGCAGAGAGACAGAGAGACAGAGAGACAGAGAGACAGAGAGACAGAGAGA